GATAACTTTACCTTCCTTTGGACGAATTCCACGATCTTGAGCTTCCTGCAAAGGTCTTGAGGCGAGGAACAAAATAGTTCCAAGCTCAGCTCGGAGCGACACCAAAAGCCCATGCTACAGTCTGGCAAACTTCACGCACGCGCTCGACAGACTTGAGCACGGCCAGGAGATCAAATCCTCAGCTGCCATTTCACTCTCCTTGCTCGTATCGAGCTCAAATTTTTTTTGAGGACTCCCAAATCCGCTGCCATCATTTGAATCTAGTTTCCATGGCAGCAGATAGCGCGAAAATGATCGAAAATGGAGAATACGCGTTCTGCAGAGTTCGCAAAAAAATCGATTTGAATTTGCCGTGTCGAGTCGCATATCTCAACAACCCGGGGTCGTATCGCTTCGGCGATTGTTTCTATCGCAAGCTGAGAGTTTTCTCTTGCAGATACATATTTCGATCGTGAGAATCGGCCAAGAATTGACCGAGTTACGATAGTTTGAACTCACGCGGTTCATGCAAATCGCGTTTGTACGCTATGTACACTCACGACGTAATAATACGTCATGCGTGGGTGCAGTGACACTGTACGTGACGTATTAATACGTCATGCGTGCTCAAAGGGTTAAAAAGTACAAGGACACACGGACTTATGCATACATGTGCAAGGAAGTATTGAAACTAGCTAACTCGCTTCGAACCAGGGAGTAGTACAATACCGGTACAATACCGGTATTGTACTACTCCCTGGTTCGAACCAGGGAGTCGTAGGGTTTAAAAATTATAATTATGACTCCCTGGTTCGAACACAGACTGTGCCGCGAGTGTGCGTGCATGTAATTGTTTGTACTGTACAAGCGATTGTGCCACTACCATCAGCCATGTACCATGTGTACGGGTAGATCTAAACTACAGTGCTGGCCACTGAAATCCGACCCCCAGGGCGGCGTGCCGCGCCGCCCTGGGGGTCGGTTTTCAGTTGCCAGCACATAGCAGTTCACCATGGTTCACACAGCAGCATGCAGCTTTGTGGCCGCATAGGCCTGCATAGCCACACATGCAGTCTATTCACTGTGTAGATCTGTGTGAGTGTGGCTGCCTTGCCCCACGCTTGCCCAAGATCTACGACCATCCAGCCCCGACTTGAGTGGCTTGCATAGTCAGTTGCATGCAGTCTCGTACCTGTGCACGTAGGCCTGCTCCAGGAACTCGCCCTGCCCACGCTTGGAACGATCGAGAGCATCGCGTCGTCAGTTGTACTTGTAGGCATAGCGAGTGGATCTGCACTAGGTCGACATTGTTTTGAGAGAGGTTTCTTGTGACTGTATTGGGAAAGAGTTCTGCCGCCGGGATGTTGTTGGAGGAAATTGAAGTTTCTGCCTTGGTTGCAGTCGCAGCAGCCCGAGAAAAAGAGACTTCCATGCGCTGATGACCTTGGCAATTCGTTGTGGCGAAGAGAAACCCGATCAGACCGCGCCAGGAAAGCCGCTCCCTCGAACAGTTCCCGCTGTGTTCACAACTGAGCTGCAACTTCTAGTCACCGAGAATGGCCAGTCGTCCAGGGAAGGTAGTTGTTAGACAGAAGTTCGTCCCGAATCGCAAATCATGGTACGGCGTCCATACGATGCCAGTACTGAAGGAGAGCGAGAACGAAGCGAAAGAAGAATTGCTGATGCAGGAGCGCAATAAGCACAAAAAGCCGGTGTCGAACGCGTTCACCGTGGCCCAGGTTCGCGCCTGGACCGAGCAGACCGTCAAACTGCAGCAGTTACGAGCACGTGTCTCGACAACCGTGGCGTCCGCACCGACCAGAGCCACCGCCAGACCGGCCCGGCAGAGAAGTGCCCCCATCCGAGATGACTCAGAGGCAGCGGATGCCAGCGCTTTCTCACTGGACTTCCTGGACGACGCTGCATTTTGACGTGCATACTACGAGCGACGGCAAGAGATCGTTCTAGTGCCGTGCCGTAGATCTATGTACGTAGTCGTAGGTTCATTCCAGGACTATTGTTTGCTGGATCCGCGAGGACACGTCTCTTCCTGTCCTGTTGGTTTGATCTGTTGCAAAGGAATCCAGTAGCTCTGCCATGGACTCGTCTGTCAATTCTGAATATTCGCAGTATCTTGACCGCATATCTACACTTGATATGGACATTAGTATTTCGTTGGCCAGACCTTTCCTGGAAAGGAACTAAATTCAACTAATGAGAACGGCGGGATGAAAACCTATTGATCTATTGGAATAACAGCCAATTATTTGCATTCTGCAACCACTCCACTACTATCCAAGGCAGTTTGCCTGTGACATCACAGATACTGGAGTTATCTGTCACCAAATCTTCTGGCCTCATACCCACATACCCACAGTGAATTGTCCCAGAATGTCTGTCTACTCAATGTTGACTTGCGAGCATTGTGTGCTGAGGAGCATGGTCAGGGAGACCAGAGAGAACCTGTTGTGAGTGTTCTGAAGAGCATTGGGAAGAATCCAGAGCACGAGCACTGGTATAGTGAGTGAGACCACACCACCCCACACCACCTGTATGGATGACACCAACACCATTCAATGTTCGCCATCCCGTCATTCGGTCGTTTCGCTCTTCCTCAACCATCTGTGTCCGTGCTGCAATGCATATTCGTGATGGGCATCCATCCGTAGACAAGGACTGGGTCTGGAAGGCTTCTGGACAACATGTAAAGTGCATGTGCAAAGTAGTATAACGTGATGTGCCGTATTTGGCCTGGTCTTTAATTTAATTTTTCGATACGATGTGGCGTAGGCTCATTTTTCACATTGCGTAGACCCTGTTCATGTACATGTATGTGTAATTCTGTCGCCATGACTGTTTATAATTGTTTATGGCCGTAGATAGACAATGTACATGTACGTGTACTTCATCTTCACACATCTTCTGGTGTTTGGCATGTGTGTTTATATCTTCTATGAAAGTGTCATATGTAACAGTACCTGCCAAGAGATGGAAAACAAAACCAGGCAATGTGACAACAGCACCCATGCCCACACACCCACAAGTAACAGTAGGTGGGTGGGCTACATACCTACATACGTGAGTCGTACAGGTGAAGTATGGTGTGCCCCCAGGAACAAAGATCTGGTGATCGACCTTCATGTAGATCTACATGGCAGGCTCCATGGGGGAGGGACATGGAGAGAGAGAGGGAGAAGGAGAGGCAGCAAGAGAAAGAGAGAGGAGAGAGAGAGAGAGAGAGAGAGAGAGAGAGAGAGAGAGAGAGAGAGAGAGAGAGAGAGAGAGAGAGAGAGAGAGAGAGAGAGAGAGAGAGAGAGAGAGGTGGGTATGTGTGTCTGAGTGAGTGACCTTCAGACATGTAAAATGCATAAAAAGACATTTCACGACGCGGCAGTAGCATGATGGTGAGGTCCGATCAGCTCACAATAGTACACCGAGTATTTCGAACCACCTCAAGCGGAGGATGCAGATCTCGGAGCACATAAAGAGAGGCTCCAAGTCATTGTTAGCAAGAATTCCGGGATCATGTCGTCGTGCCTGCTCTTGCCTGCACATTCTCGCCACGCCTTCCACTCGACCCTTATCCAATCGAATGGAGTAAGCCAGTCCACTCCTGTCACACCCCAGAATGCAACTCCCTCCTTTGTGTTTTTAAATTAAAGCGCTCTCTTTCCTCGGTGTTTGGATACAAGCCATTCCAACGCCACGATATCCGCCTCACTCGCTACACCGTGAAATACATGTGATTGCACACTCGTGTGCCTATTGCGGTATCGCTTGTGTGTCCAGGTATACAGGAAAGCGTCTTGTTTCTATAATAGGGCATTTAGACTACAGTACAGTCAACTGTGACTGCGTAGTCGTTTCTACGATTCAGACGTGTTTGACCTGCGATTGTACCCGGTACCTGGGCCTTGTGTCAGTTGTGAGTTGAAACACGACTGCATCGCCATAGAAATTCGTTTTCAGACGTGACTTTGCCCGTTGTCTGAATAGCCCATAACTTCATAAGGCCTCTACTTTGACCAATGCATGATTCACCCCCTGTCCACTGTCTATCGAAATATGACTCCCTGATAATAGTGTCCTTATACCCGAAGTATTGCAGCTAGGGGGCGTTCGAATTGTCTTCATCAACTGTTCGAACAAATTTTTTAAAGAGATTAGTTGAAGTGTCCCAATAGAACGGTTTCTATCATTTTAGAGTTTTTCATTGGAATTGTCATGGCGATAATGACGTCCGATCAGATCGACCATCTCGACGTAGCTATTCCAAACTCTTCGCAACTAATCCCATCTCTCCCATCGGATGAGGTTGTGGAGATTGGAGGAGTTTCGTTTTTCTGAATAGCCCAAAATAATGCCATCTCTTCAGAAAAACGAAACTCCTCGAAAAAAGAGTGACGAACGAACGAAGTTCTGTCGCGCCCTTACTAGAATGTTAGATCTGTAGATTGGACTTTGCTCTGGTCATGGAAATTCTTTCCTTATTCGCGTCGTTCTATCCGCAGTCGGTATTAGCGAAGTAATTAGTTGACTGTACGTAGTACTGGTTTTGACTAGGCATATGCGGATTATGCCGGCAGAAAAATTGGCAGAATTCGGTACTTTTCTGGTAAGTTTCATGCATGTTTGGTATGTGGATAAAGAAATGGAGCAGAATTCGAGGAATTGCCCGCCATAAAGTTTGTATGGTTCTGCCAATTTCACTGCTTTTCGAGCAGAATCTACCACCTTTTCGAGCATTATCCGCACACCCCTAGAGGGCCCAGTCCTGACTCCTGACTCAGTGACTGGGTTTTCGCGCGGCTCCTGCGGCCGCAGGCTTGGGACACATCGTAGATAGTCATCATGAACACAGTCAGTCTGAATGCACTGACTGACTTCATCATACATGTATGTACATGGCACATGCAGTGATGTAGACCTACAGACAGTACAGTCGGATCGGTCAGCGACTACGTAATGCTGGATGAGCAGCATGCATCCAGCTCTGCGGCTTGCAGACTCTGCCGGTGCCACTGCCGAGTAGATCTAGCTACCGTACCGTGCCGCATAAGCTTGCAACTAAAAATGTTGTGCAAGAAGAGCATGCAGGAACACAAGACTACAGTTCAGCCTTTCAGGGCGCACTACACTTGCAGTATTCTCGTGAACTGGGTAACTGCTTACTTGCTTCGGCGGACGCTCTTGAAACGGCTTCCGTAGGCTTCCGTTCAGGTGCTCGCATTGGCCTGAGCAGAGTCTGCAGGGCAAGGCCAATCTGTCGCTACTTTCCTACGCCGGCTGGCTCGTGCTTGGTGTGCGAAGCAGAAAAAACGCAATCGCAGAGCATCTGAGAAACTAACTTTGTTGATCACCTGCCACATGCACAACTGAACGACAACGCCTGGTCATCGAGCATGGCTACTCCTGTCAACGAGGAGGATGTTCCTAAGCGCAAGAAACCCAGGAGGAAGAAGAAGCGCACGTTCGAGGCGATGCCCGTTCTGGAGGAGAACGCGGACGAAGACGAAGAGGAGTCGGCCATGCAGGAGGAGAGCAAAGACAGAGAGACTCCATCGCACGCGTACACTGCTGCCGAAGTCCAGGCCTGGCACGAGCAATCGCGCAGGATGGAAACTCCCGCGCAGCCAACGCGGCGAGTCTCGACGAGGGCTTCTCCACCGGAAAGAGGCACCCTCCGGCCCCGGACGAGAGGTGCTTCCGGCAAGGGCGACTCTGAAACGTCGAAGACCAGCGCGTTCTCATTTGACAACGTTGACGACTCTGCGACTGATGAAAGCGCTACAGACGACGGTGATGCCGGGGACGGAAAACCGAAAGGGGAATCACAGTCGTCAGAGCTCGAGTCTGGGGACGACCCCGCTGTGAGTCCACTCGATCTATCGGATGATCTTCCATCGCCGGTTCGAGATGCGTCGGCGAAAGATATGGACGAATACGGCGATGTTGACGATGACTACGGTACGTATTACTCGTGAAGCGATAATGAGAACTTTGATGGCTCTGGTTGTGTGCATACTACCTTCCTCATCGTGCGTAAGAAATCCGTAGCTACTTTTTTGGGGGCACCACCGCATGCACATACAGTCGACTCTATTTATAACGAACTCGCATATAGCGAATTTCGTGATATAGCGAATCCTTGTCCGTGTCCCTGTTTGAACCCATACAAAATTGACCCTTTATAGCGAACAGTTTTCGTTTATAACGAGCCAAATCTTGTAGGGCTGCATGCAAACCAAGTACATTCATACTGTCATGGACCACTTGCCAGGCATGCCTTGTTGCTCGTATGGTGTGAGTGCACGTCTGTGATAACGAACTTTGGCTATAAAGAACTAATTCTCCTGCACAATGGTGTTCGTTATATCAGGAGTCGACTGTACTTGAAGTACATGTACCCCACACACACATGTTACAGTGCTGCCAAATAATTTTCGCCTAAAATCGGACACCCTTCACCCCCGAGGCTGGCCACATGGTGCGAATTTTCTCCTCAGCAATTTTTTCCATAGAACTCAAAATATTGCCCGAAATACCACGAAAACTCGCCCGTTGCCATGGTAACTGATATGGCAACCCGAAGTAAGTTGTCATGAACTTTGTAATGCATGCGTGTGGTCACACACTGCTTCTGTACAGTGCACATGCCATCCAGGCATGTTACTTTTAAAAGTCTTTGCACTTCCACAGCTAGGGACCGGCGGATTCTGCTCGAAAAGGTGGCAGATTCTGTCTCGAAAAGAAGTGAAATTGGCAGAACCATACAAACCTTATGGCGGGCAATTCCTCGAATTCTGCTCCATTTTTTTATAGGGCTGAAAGTTGGCACTGAGATTCCGAGTTCGAGTACTCTGATTTTCTCCGATCGAATATTCGAGTATTCGAGTATTCTTCATCAAACCTGTACTGAGACGGTTGAGAGCGGTAGCCTTTTTTGGAGCTCCCGGAAAGTACCCCCTTTTTTTCGTGATTCCCTGGGCCTTTGGCCCTCGGAATACTTTTTGCCTTGTATCCAGTATGGCTGACAAGTCCACTGACAAAGTGGACATTGCTATTCTGATCGACTCAGAGCTGAGGGACCTCATCCGACACCGTGGTCTGGACGTCCCGCGGAAAGCCACGAGGACCGAACTTGTTGCTGCACTGAGGGCATCGCAGGACGCCACCTACAATGGTGTAAGTCTCTCTGGTAGCGATCATGCTGTTTCGAGCCTGTGCTCAGCCCTGTCAGACCTCACAGATGTAGTAAGGGAGTTGAAGGCGGAAATAACCGCCATGAAGGGAATGGAGGACAAATTCCACGAGACGAATAGAGAAGTCGTGGATTTGAAAAAGAACGTACAGGAGTTGAGAGTTGATCTTGTTGCCGTACAGACCGAGCTAGCCGTCCTAAAAAGCGGGGAGGCTGCCTTGCATGCTACGGGAGGCACGCACCTTGCAAAAGGTCAAACACATGCACATACGCCACTTGATGAAACGGGGACAAGCACGGGCTATGGTGCGCAATCCTATGCTGCTACCCTGCAATCTTCCGGACCCCCCTCTAGCTCTAGTGTACACCCACGTCGTACAAGCCCTAACCCAGCCCAGCCAGTCCCACAGAAAACCAGAGTGGTATCATATTACCACAAGCCGCCCAAACAACCCTCTGGCACGTCTGACCGTCTCGTTGCAGGTCGCCGTGTGAAATGCAGTGCAATCCATGTGGGAAACATTGATCCCAGCTGCTCAGCTGACGCTATCGCGAAATGGTGTCAGAAGAAGCAAGTGGAAGTTATCAAGTGCTCCATTTCCGCAACAAAGTACTTCGGACTTTCGTACGCACACCTGGTGGTTCCTGAAACGTACACGGCGAAAGTGTTGGACAAGGAGTTCTGGCCCGAGGATTTCACTGTGCGGAAGTGGTATTGGGAGACTGATCGAGTCGCCCACGGTTCCAATCAGTAAACATGTCTCCTCTAAATCCACTCGCACCACCGTTCACCCCCAGATCACATCCTCCACCACCAATATCTCTACCCAGTCATCATACTAATCATAACATCAATATCGGTCATTTAAATGTGCGTAGCCTCAGACATAAACTCCATGAAATTCAATCCCTCATCTCCGACCATTCCCTGGATGTTCTCGCTATTACTGAAACCTGGCTTGACAATACAGTAGCTGACTCAGAACTAGCTATTGACGGGTACACGCTGTTCCGGCGCGACCGAGAGTGTCCACGAAGCTGCCCTTGCCTTAGTGGTCTTTCAGTCCCCTGCCGCAAGGCGGGAGGCGTCTGTGTGTACACCAGCACTAGACTTGGCTTTACCCGGCACTTGCTACAAAGCTCAAATAATTTTGAAATGCTCTGGCTTACATCTCGCCGGCGACGCAATGCTGCTCCCTTCCATCTTGGTTGCCTCTACAGACCCCCGAATTCCCCAGCATCGTTTTGGACTTCCCTGGCGCAGGAACTGACAGAACTCCAGGGTAACTCGTTGGTGCTAATGGGTGACCTGAACGTGGATTCTCTCCAACCTACATCCCAGCTCTACTCGTCTCTCCTTACCAACTTTCTTTTGCCCTTTAACTTTCTAAACTGTATTCACGACCCAACTCGTGTTTGTCCGAAGTCGTCATCGTCAATCGACTACATTCTAAGTAATACAGATGCTGTCTCAGGCGGCATTGTTCATGACTTTGAGCACTCCGATCACTGTTTGGTATGTGCAACCTTGACCACCCCCGACCCCTACTCTTTCCCGACTGACTGCAACCAGCGCCTGCCCAGTCGGGACTTTTCCAACACCGATATCAAGCAATTGGAGACCCTCTTAGAGTCCGCAAACCTCTGTACTTTCTCTCTCTCTTCCAGCGTGAATAGTATGGTTGACGAATGGACAAGTAAAGTTGACTCAGTGCTGGATTTGGTAGCGCCATATAAACCGCCTAAGCATTACCGACATGCTCCTCGTCGAAAGTGCCCCTTTGTTACGTCAGAGCTACAAGCACTAATTCGGAGGCGCAAAGCGGCCTTTCGCACGTGGCGCAAGGGAGGTTCCACAGACACCAAGCGTTACAACAGCTTTCAGCGCCTTCGCACCCAATGTAACAATCTCTATCGTCGTCTGCGGAACCAGCACTATCAGAGAATTTGTGCCGAATACAGAAAATCTCCGCGTCGCTTATGGGCTACAATCAACTATGTGACAAAGCGTAAACCAAAGTCGTCTCCCATTCTTGCACCTAACCTGAATGACCACTTCCATGCTATAGTCCACGACCCCACAAGCACGTACGACCTGCCGTCTGGACCGGTCCTTGAAGATGCATTGACCACTTTCGATCGGGGTATCGCTCATTGTCTAGTAGGATTGCTTTACTTTGGAATGCTCTGCCCTTCGAAATGAAGTCTTGCAATACGTCTTCTGCATTTAACGCCCATCTTGCCTGCCTTCTTAATGACGGGCCACAATGTACCCGGTTAAAACAGCTCCTTTTTGAAAATGTTTTCGATGAGTGATGTGTCGCTTTGTTTTGCTCTAATTGGTGCTTTTCTCCAATGTCATGCAGTCGTATTTATTCAGCTTTTATTTCTTGTGTACTTGCATACTGGTATTAGTTTAGTCCCACAACCTGCGATAAAATGATCCGCTGTAGCACCTACTCCACTTTTATGTTTATGTATCTATGTCATTCGGATCTTCCCAAGTTGTACAATGTACTGTTGAGATACCGAATTCAAATAAATCAATACCATACCATACCATACCATCTCCTAAAAATTGCACACCAAGGGGCTTAAAATCACATGATACAACCCTGATCGAACAGAGTAGTAGTCATTTTTCTCGGGTATATTGGTTGGTGGGTCATTTGGGCTCTCTCTACTCGTGAACAAATGTTCACCACACAGTCTGCACATCAATATCTGCTGACTGCTGCTCTGAAACTGCAGATTTCTGTGGTAAATGCATGTACCAAGTATGAACGAGTACTCTGATTTATTCCGAGTACGATTATTTTTGAAAAAACCGAGCGAGTACTCGAGTATTTGGTATAATTGTTTCAGCCCTATTTTTTTATCTACATACCAAACATGCATGAAACTTACCAGAAAAAGTACCGAATTCTGCCAATTTTTCTGCCGGCAGAATCCGCCCGACCCTATCTACAGCCAAGCGGAAGCCTTTTTAGAAGCACACGTACACTGTTTTGCGTCTTAAGTTGCGCTGGAAAGTGAAAATACAGGGCTTCTGGCGTAGGAAAGTAATGATCTCTGACATTTTTGGCTACTTTTCAGACCTTTCCTTTTTCAGACCGGTTTTCGGAAGAGCCTTCAAAAATCGGACACTGTCCGAAAAATTGGACGGTTTGGCAGCACTGCATGTACCATGGAGGTCTTTACCCCGCAGACGCTGCACTGGCTGCATGTTTTAGGGTGCATAGGAGGAAGTGGTGTGGATTCGAGTTGCTGTTCTTTACTAGCCGAGTTGACTACATTAGCGTCAGCGGGTCCAGGATGCTTTGTGTGCAATACCCATGTATAGGCCTTTGCGGATAATGCCGGCAGAAAAATTGGCAGAATTCGGTACTTTTTCTGGTAAGTTTCATGCATGTTTGGTATGTGGATAAAGAAATGGAGCAGAATTCGAGGAATTGCCCGCCATAAGGTTTGTATGGTTTTGCCAATTTCACTGCTTTTCGAGCATTATCCGCCGATGCCTACCCATGTACATGCACTCCAGAACGAATTACTAGTTAGACCCGCCGGAAGGCGGGCGAAGTTGGTCCGGTTCGAGGGGGGGGGGGTCGGGGATCTCTTCTGGACAATTTTTTTGAAAAATCCGGTCGGAAATAGCAGAATTTGGCCCTTTCACAAGTTTTCAGAGCCCACCACAGGGAATAATTTTTCATGGATATCAATGTACAATGTATGGCCTACTACGGGTGCATGATCAATAATACATGTACATGTACCCAGAATTTTTTCTCCCCCGTTTTAGACGAATCCCAGGGGTGACCTGAGCCAGAGTTGGTCCGGTCACAACTGGACCGACCGGACCGGTTCCGGCGGCCCTGCTAGTACATGTACAATGTAGCTTCATGTCACAGTAACTCATACACTGCAGCACACTATTGTGTTTATGAAAAAACAAAGTTCTGGGCATTTGAGCGCAGGCATGAACCACCCGTACCTTATGAGGGTCTGATCCTTCGTACTGAGGCTGAATGTTCTTGTGCAATGTTCTTGCAGCCTAGCTGCAAAAAGTTCGGAACTGCCTAGAATACAACCCAAACTATTCGGTTGGCTCACCTGCATGCTCTTCATGGGGTCGGAGGGGTGGAGGGGGTGGGAGGAGGTCTGACCAATTACTTACGCCCACTTCTTTAGGAGCTGCACATGCACGTTGAGCCTTTAGGATGAGGGCACTCCTGCAGGTGCAGGAAATTCAGCCCTGGCGGACTTTCACACAAGCTCTGAATCATGTTGTCATTCCTTCACTGCCAGCATAGAGGCAACCATAAAAAATAAATAAATAAATTCACGGTTCGCGTGAGACTCAGCCGAGTTTTCCGCATCCGCCGTGGGAACGCCACCACCCTCTAGGATCAAAGGCGCAGATGCAGCGCCTAAACGGTGGGAGGTGAGTAGATCAGACCCACCACCATGTGGTCAAAGACCGAAATCCCATTAGCTGCATCCATGTTACCCTCGTGCCAGGCCACGAGTTCCCAATTAACTGTGGGTCGCAGCACGGCTGGAAAAATTCCTTCCGCTTCCAAGCAGGACTTGAACCTGGTACCCTCTGTTTCTCAATCATGGTCTTAGAGGCAACCATACCTATTTAGAATTGCAAAGCAAAACGTTGATAACAGCAACAGCAAAAACACAAAAAATCACGGTCCGCGTCAGACTCGACTAGAGGCCGAGTTTTCCGCATCCGTAGGAACGTCGCCGCCCTTCAAGGATCAAGGCGCAGATGCAGCTCCTGAAGCGGTGGGAGGTGAGTAGATCAGCTCACCAGCAAGTGGTCAAAGACCGAAATCCCATTCACTGCAAGATCAGTGCAAGAGCAAAGATGCATACAAACCCATCAGCAAGCCAGTGCATGTACAATTGTACAATTGTATATACATGTACATGTACAGTCGTCGCCAAAAAAATCCAGCCAATGCTATGCTAGCTACCGCGATACCGGTAGCTGTACGTGGCCGCATGCACTGCCATGCCGCTGCTAGTGCCGGTGTGCTAGCCTAGTGCACGGCACATGCTCTGCTGCCGGGCCTGCACTCAGTCTCTGCAGTGCACAGTCCGTGCTGTGATCGACTCGACTGCAGCAGGCAGAGTGCAGCGCGGACCCTCTACTGACATGCATGCATGGGATAGGCACCATGCCACAGAACATGATTGTATCCATGGCATTGACCGGATTTTTTTTGGCGACGACTGTAGCATGATACTTGATAGTGATCTTGGAGGAAGGGGGGGGGGGTCTGAGAATGGCAAATACAAATAATACCAGTCATGGATGGTTGATAAAATCGGCTATGTGTTCATGTGTGTTCATGTGTGTGCATGTGTTTTCATGTGTGTGCATGTGTGTGCGTGCATGCGTGAATGTATTTGTAACTGTGTGCACTGCGTTTCCCTTGCCAGTGATACCCAGGACAACGAGCGTCGCGGACAGCGTTTGGAGCAACAAGAGCGACACCTTACCTCTCTCAGAAAGTCGTGGCGAGGAGGATGTGCCATCAAGAGGCAGTAGCAGGTCGGGGCGACGGGACATCCTGCGCTGCGTGAAGAATGGATGGGCGCGCCACTTCGACCTCCTGTTTGCGGCGCCGAGTGAGAAACAGCGGCCCGTTAGCAGGGCGTCGGGCTGGACCGAAGACTTTGAGCCCATTTTCCAGCCACCTCCGCCCCCAGTCCCCGGCATCAACCCGAACCAGTTTGACGCGGAAACCGGGAAAAGTGCGCTGACGTACGCTATGTGCCAGGAGGACAACGACATCTTCATGAAGATGATGAAGGTGCTCGTGAGGAGAGGCGCCTCTGCAAGCTACCGCGACAAGCGCGGTATGACGGCGCTAGATCATGCCTGTCGCCGTGGCAACCTCAAGCTGGTGAAGAAGCTCATGTATATCCAGTGCCTGGACCCGCTGGTCTTCTTGCAGGGTGATAAGAAAGGACGCACGCCCCTCTTTCACGTGAGTGAATGTGATGTTTGACTCTATCCCCCGTGCATTCTCACTCCTTGATCCGTGTGGGCGACGGCGTTCCTGCGGATGCGGCAATTCGTTTTGGCGAACTCTGACACTGACTGTGCAGTCAACGTAGTTGCTGGAGCACAATGCATACCCAAGTATAATGCCCCTTCCCAAAAATATGGGCCAGAGTATAGTACCCCCCCCCCCCCCCCCCGCCTCCCAGTACAGTACCCCCTTGAGTACCCCCAGAGTATAATACCCTCTCCCTCCCATTACACCCCCCCCCCCTTGATTAAGATTTGTCCCATACAAAGTGAACGTACATGTAGTACATACTTCGAATTACTAGTACTGTACATGTCTGCGGCAACTCTCCTTCACCGAACATGGATACGCGTGTACCACGAACACACCCAGCGGAGTCTCTGCCTGACACAACCGCTTCACTCCATCGCGCAGCAAGCTCACGCGAGTTTTGTGCGATGCTGTGTGTGCGCGCGTGCACTTTTCCTTCTAGGCCGTCCGCGCCAACTGTCCGGCAATCGTGAGCTTCTTGCTGCGCTACTACGAGGCCAAGAAGATTGCAGATTGGCAGTGGGACAAAGCCGAGGAGACGTCGGGCCGGACAGCACTGGCGGAAGCGTCGCGACTCCGTCACTTACAGTGTGTGTTTGTAAGTACGTGTACTGTTGACCGTTTGACGCCTTGATAGCGATGCAACCGCAAAAGCCCTAGCAACGTGTGCCGTGATTGCCCCATTCAACAGCTTGCAAGGCTCAAGAATTGACCGTTATGACGTGCATTGCCACTTCAGTGCAGCTTGCCACCACCGGCCCTGACAATCTGTATCTGGGGGCGGGGGGCAGATGACCGGTATATCATAATGCAAGTTTGTGGGTACGTGAAATGTTACTTGAGGTGACTTGCAACTACCTCTATATTGGAGGTCAGATAACCGGTATGCATAGGGCAGTGGTGCCAGACTGATCACCCACACTATGTTATGTAACATATGTACCAGTACAGGGTACTTGTTACTGACGTGTATGAGTTCTGGTTGAATCAAATGCAGCTAGTGAAGCTGTGTGTGCGTGTGTATGTGTGTGTTTGTGTGCGTATATTGTGTTCATGTGTACCTGTTATTGCGCATATGTGTGTGTGTGTGTGTGTGTGTGTGTGTGTGTGTGTGTGTGTGTGTGTGTGTGTGTGTGTGTGTGTGTGTGTGTGTGTGTGTGTGTGCTTGCGTGCTCAGCTGCTGCTGAAGGCTGATCCCGACGGCTCCATACTTCACCGTGCGGGCAACCAGGGCAAGATTGGCCGCTATCTGTTGCGACTCAGCGCACAACGACGTCTCCTCCTGCTGCTGGCAAAGCAACACTCGCTGGATGAGCCGCTGGATCGTGCCAGCGCCACCAAACGCCTCATAGAGCTGTCCAACGAGAAAGTGCTACACTGGATGCAGCGTGAGTGCGAGGCCGAAAGCCAAGCGCAGGAAAAGCTCAAAGCGGATGCAGAGCGGGCGGTTCGCAAGCAGCAGGAGCGCGTACTCGCCCGCGAACAAGCGTACCAGGCGGCCGTGCGGCGCGAGAAACGAGCGAGAGGGGGCCGAGCCATGCAGGATGCTGCTGAGGCCCATGCGGAGCACCAGAAGCATCAGAGCACCGCCGCGTCGGACTACGGTCCGCTGAGGTCTCAAAACTGGCCAGCGGGTGAAGAGGAGTACAGTCAAACACCGAGCGATGAGTCTGCCAGTAGTGACGATAGCAGCCAGGAACGCCATGCCAGAACGTATCCTGGACTGGACAGAGGAAGCGCTGCGATCTTCGATGCGGACGACTCCAGTACGGAGAATACGCCACGCAGACGGCATCAACACAAGCCCTCTCCATTGCAGCTGTCTGCAAAACCGAAACCAGGGCCGGAAGCGGCGCCAACTGGACGACCTCCACTGGCAACCGCGGCCAGAAAGGCGCCCACGACGGTGGACGGCGGCAGAAACCAGTTCACGTTCAGCGGGAGCAGTGCAGCCGCCCTGTCACGGCAGCGTTTATCGCGCATGCAGCACCAGCACCGCTCTCATCTGTCGCTGATCCGCAACCCTCTGGGCAGTGCGGCACCCGGTCTCCTCTCGGCCATGCTGCCCACCGTGCGCACCAGCCACGGGGACTCGGTGTTCTCGTTCGAGGCGTCGGACGTGCTCGGATTGCAGCCGCCTGCGCTCTCCTCTCATAGCACTAACACTGGGAGTGAAACCTCCCTGCCCAGCGCCCTGTTTGAAGGGTTCAACTTTGACTTTCCAGGCGAGATTGATTTGGAGAGCTTTGAGATTGAATTCTTGCCAGTGCAGTTTGACGCCGAGTTTGCTCTTCCATGCGACCAGATCCTGGACGACAACGACGAAGATTGGAAGGGGATCGTGGCCGACAACGAAGACGATGAGGTTGACAGCGACGAAGATGAGGATGATGATGAGTACGAGGACGAGGATGAGGATGACTCGGACGATGACTCCGACTCTGACCTACAGGATTGCCCAAGCCCACGGTCCTATAAACCCAAGCCGCCACCTCTACCGCCCATTGAGCACACCACTGCCGCACAAACTCGGGATACACCGGAACTACCTGACTCGAGAGCGCCAGGCCCTAAGACGCCGGGAGCCAAAGGCTGGAGCACGGTAAAGGGCTCGGCCTCTACCCGGGCCAAGCCAAAGTTGCTAACTGTCACTTCGGAACTGTTAGGTTCATCCAAGCATGGCGGTGACAAAGCCAGCACCGGTCCTTTAAGTGCAAAACTAGTGCCAAGTAGCTCCAAGCCAACCAGCGGCAAACCAGCGGCCGCCAAGCCCCCAATAAAAACCCCAGGCAGTGGCACCCATCCTGATCCTGTTGAAGATGCCCCGTCATCCTCTACCACTAGTGAGCCAGGCACAATTGAAAGTGCAGATGGCAAGAATCCACCTCGGCGGTCAAAGAAGTCCAGGAGCAAGTCGGAACGACAGCGAAAGTCGGAACGATCGAAATCGCTCAAGGATGCCGTAACGTGCGATGCCAAGCCAACTGCACCCATTTCACTGAAAAGCATCATACCAGACCCCAAACAGCTCACCGCTGATCTTCTCTTGCCGTATCCAGCTGGCGGCCGGCTGTGCTCATTCTCTAGAGTCAAGGCCATGAAGAGAGACAGCGAGTGGTCCGAATCCGATGAGCCACTGGAGCTGCCGCTAACGGAACGGTTCACTGCCCAGCACCTGGCCAGGGAGAATGAGCCACAGGAGCCGGTTAACCAGCCCTACAACGAGTGGACAAAGGCAGAGAGACAGTTCCTCATCGGCGGATATCGTCCCAGCAAGCGCGTGTTTGTGCGCGATCGCATGGGCATGCACCAGGTGCTGTTGGATCAGCTGCAAGGAGAGGAGAAAGAGTTCTGGTCGGAGGAGTTCTGCCCCCGGACAGGCCTCAAGCGGGTAGACTATAACGATGTTCTCAGATCACAGAGAGTCAACCGCCTGCCACGGTCAGACCACCCACGCTGTCCTTTCATGAAACCTGGTACGGTATGCACGAAAACCCTCGCCTCCATTCAGGCCGTCCTGAAGTGGTTCTCGCCGCCAAACTCTCAGCCGACCGACCACGAGCTTTGGCACATGACCAAAGGTCGTTCCGAGGAAGAGCGCGCTCCGATTGCCTATCGGCGCACTTTCCAAAAGCTTAATGGTGCTGGGAGCAAGAGGTACTGGCGAACTGATCTTGATCTGGACTTCGCCGCACGGTATTATCCGTGGCGCAAGAGAATGCCCTGGTACAAAGGAGAGGAGGTGGAAGTGACTGACGAGGAAGAGGAAGAAAAGCTGCCCAAGCCCAAGCGAGGAGCCGCCACGGCAATGCGCGACGTGGTAAGCTTGAACCGAGCTGCCAACGCAATGAAGAAGGGCACGGCCAAAACACGCGTGGGCGAAGGCCAGAAAGGCCCAGGTGTGCAGTCAAAAGCTGGAACTAGACTGGGAGCCCATCCTGTGGAGAAGGCTGTATCAGCTGCGGTCACTGTGCTGAAGAAAGGCGCGGGTGCAGCCTCATGTTCGTCAGAAAATGATACGCCTGGAAAGGGCAAAAAGCCAAACGGGAAGAACGGAAAGAACGGAAAGAATGGGAAACATGGGAAAAACGGGAAAAACGGCAATGGTGGCACCACCACCAAGAATGGAAACAACCGACCAACTCAAACCAGAGCTGGTACTACCAGAGGAGGTCGCAGGGAACCGCATGATGAGCTTGCGTCGAACAAGCAGCAAGAAGCGGGCAACGGGGGCAAAGCTAACGCAACCAACGGGGGGCAGACTAAGCAAGGCAGCCAAACACAAGCAGGGCACGCGCCCTCCGCCACCAGAGCGGCGACCGCCGGCGGTACAAGGCGCGGCCACCGAGGCTCGAACAGTCCGCCTCAAACTCAAACTGCTCACGTGCGGTTTGCTGATCAAGACACGGTGGGCGCTCGTTGCTCCGCTTCGGTGTTGGGAAGCAGGAGAGGAAGTGCCGCGCTTCGTGCAGTCCCGTCCACAGCACCCAAGGCTAAGAAGTACAAGAAGATTATCCGTCCGATGAACAATGCCGAGGTAGCATTCGCGTACCTACTGGCGGAAGAGTATGCCCAGCGGCGTCACCGTGAGAGAAAGAAAAACATCCTAGTCGGCCGGAAGGAGATGAACACGTTCATGGAGCGCGTGCGGGGCATGCATGTGGCCCTGAAAGGCGAGGAGGAGAGAATCCAGAGCGGCTCCGGCAGCACCACTGAGTTCCGCATCAAGTCACTAAAACCGCTGTCCTTCGATGATCCCGAAGTTCTGCGCAGCGTTCTCAGCGTGGTCGAGGGCTCCAGTATCCTCGTCTCCAAGCAGAGCATCACGGTGGTGTCGCCGAAAACACCCGATGACTGTATATACAACATTCACTACACCATACCGGGACAGTCGGGCCGTGACGTCCTGGACAAGGTCTTCGCCGATCGCCGTGCCAAAAGCGCCGACGAGCAGAGCCGGGCCTGGACGAAAAACTCCGCCGCCGTGCCGCATATGGATAAGGGTACCCTGGCCAGGAATGTGCATGCCCTCACGGTCGATGTGCCGGCACAGCTACCTGACTTTGATGCGTTTGATCTGGACGCCGCCAACAAGACACGCCCACTACAGTTCCACTGGGAAGTAGACCCGCGTCGCCTTCTGTCCGTTCGGGTCTTGGGCCGCAGCACACGACCTTCCGAAAAAGGAGAGCTGTCGCTCAACGGTCCCGACCTGTTCGTCAGCCTAGCCCTGAAAGTCATGACGAGCACGGATCGAGAGAGGGCGGCACGGCAAGCCGTCCAAATCAAACGAGATGCGTACGCCGAGGGCCTGGCGAGGACGCAGGCTGCCACGGACGCACCTGCCGCGTTGAGACGCACCAGAGCCGTCTCACAGTACAATCGCTTCAGGCCCAGGAGCGATGCCGTCAAGTTCAACCTACCTTCGGGACTCTCCTCTATCATCAAACTCCAGAGAGACCCGCTGGGTGAAACGAGTCTGGAAAGGCAAATCACCGCACAAAATCAGATCAGAGAACGAGTGTCGGCAGCTCCACTGAGAAGACAAGACACGATCCGGACTGAAGCCGAGGCCTCGAGAAGAAGCCAACGGAGTAGAGCTCGATCCAATCGGGCAACTCGTTCAGGTCGGCGAGCTCCGACTGGATGCGTCAAGTCGGCAAAGTCTGGCAGCACCGGAGGATCAGCTGATATGCTCGACGACGACAATCCTGAACTGGACGGCGACACGAGTGACTCTTCGGAGAGCCGTGGATCGGCATCCGGAGCTGCATCGGCGGCGAGGTGCAGTCGTGCCGATGCATGTGTAGCTCTGGACCACTGGGGCTGGCTGCCGGGCGTGGTTGACGGCATCGATGAAGACGTCAGTCTAGCCCCGTACATGCACGAAGCCAGGTGGCAGGGCATTGGACACAATCCTGCGGCTAAATCACCCTCCAATCAGACCAACCCCGCCGGCAGCAGATCGAGGAACGTGAATGTGCCGAGCAACCGGACAGAGCAGGCCGCACCGTCAGAATTTATTACCATGATGGCAGTAGCTACATTGCCTGCAGAAGCCTCTATGACAGCAGCCAACATGACGGAAAGGGTAGTGAGAGCACTACCACCAGCAGCGGCGGCGGCGGTGGCGACAACAGCAACAACAAAAGCAACAGCAGTAAACGAAGCAGACGACAATGAAATTGTATTAGCATCAACATTAGGCACAACGGCAGAAAGGTTCAAGGAGCTAAGGGAAATGTACCCGTCAGGCACGCCAGAAGCGCCATCTACAGACGAGATGGAAGAGAGAGGAATAAGAACACCTAACACTGAGGAGAGTGATGAGGATAATTGGCACCTTGGCGACACTGTGGCTATGTGTGTGACCCAGAGCATCACAGACCAGCATCAACAAGCACTCTCCGCTCTCACAGATTTGCCCAGGGTGGAGAATTCGGAACCTTCTGCTCAGTCGAGTGTTCATCATCGTCTACCGCAACGACATCGGTCGATCACTTGGCAGAGAGCACGCAGATCAGAGTCCGTGAACGCCTCGAGCAGCACTGGACCCTGTCCTCGGTCTGCTTCAGAAGGTCGTGATCCCACTCCTTGCAAGCGGCTAACGGACTCTGTATGCCAGAGAATGGGCCTAGCAAGAACGGCAACAGGTCCCACCAGAATGTCGCATTCAGAACGGGCTGCTGCTGCTAGGCTGAACCAGAGAGATCTCCAGGCTACCCGTAGGCATGCGCCGGGAATCAGTCTGGAACCCAGAAATATCTCACCACCGGAGTTTACGACAGTACGTTCAAGCGGACATTTGCGAGCTCAATTGTGTTATCGTGCGGCAACACCACCGACACAGGAGCACGACAGTGGGGCTCGTGCAACCACTGCTAGAAACGTTCCAACTGCTGGAGACCCAACGTGGCACGCACGGTCTGCCGCCATGGACAGTGCAGCAAGCTCTTCGTCATCGCAGCTTGCAAGCGTACCCTGGGACTCAGCGTGCAGCCGAGCTGTTTCTGCCATGACGAGATCTCCTGGCGCTGCAAACACACGTGCCCCTGGTAGCTTGCCAACTCGGATACCTATGGGAAGAGCTTCAGAGGATAGGCCTCCGCTAGCCAGGCTGAACCGCACCAGTGCCACTGGCTCTGAGACATTGCTGCCCCCAGACTCATTCCGAGCAGACCTTGACTCTAACTTCAGGTCCAGGTGGAGTGCAAGACAAGCTAGAAACACAACTGCTTTCGGCGCTGGCAGTGTACCCGCTACGGAACACCAACAGCATTCGGCATCGTCAGCCGCTGTGCGTCGCACGGCCACTACAGCAAGCTCTGAGGCACTGCAGCCAGCCAATCCACCCATGACCCACGTCGGACGTAGCATAGCTACTGCTGCCCCGGGGGAAGGCACTGCTACTAGCAATAGTCTCCAGGATATTCTTGCCGCATACTTCGCGCAAACTCCTCAAAACCAAAGTGAAATGCAGCCCAGGGTGGCTGACGGGAGGCAATCCACATCAGTTCTCGAACGTCTGCCTCAAGTACCTCGCCACTATCACAGTACCCGGCGGCCGCGCAGAACTGAACACGACCATTCAAACCGACCCGAGCAGCCCGCAGGCGAAGACGATCAGCGGATCTACCAGGTGTGGACTGTGTTTGCTGACGCTCCGCCAAGCCTTCCCTGGAGCTGCTTCCCTCGGCCCAGACGCGAATACGAGCAGTTCCTGTTGAACGTGGTGTTCGCGAAGCGGGACGCTTGGGCTACGATGAGCAACACGGTCGTCCCCATCTCGCCCGGCTCCTCCAATCATGACCTGCATCCTGCGTGTCTGTGGCGGGCAGCACTGGATGAATCAAAGTGCAAGGCAGCCTGTAAGTACAGCTACCGGTGTGAGAAGCAACAAGGCAATGATACTATAGCAGAGCCAGGCGGGAATTCAAGTGGAACTGGACTGCATGACGCAGGATTGCTGTGGTTTCCGCGCAAATATGCGAGGCGTAAAATCCAGATCACGCTAAGAAGTAGCGCTGCAGCACAGAGGAAAGCAGCCTGTGGGAGGATATGCTTCTCATCGCAGCTTCGGGTGGTTTTGCGCGTGTGTGCACGGCACGGTGCTAGACCACCAGTGTTGTGTGCGCAACGATGGTACGGTAGGCAGCAGAGTCCGCGCCTCAGCCTACTGGGCGGGAAGTTTGCTGGGCGTGCCATTGCGCTAACTTTGGAGACTTTCACCTATGACACTGGGCCTGACACGCCGTCGCTTTCAAAGTACTGGTCTGGTGTGCTCGGAGCCCAGTGTCCTTCACCGGGTGCAGGATGTCAGCACAGGCCCGCAACAGAACATGATGCCAAGCCACCCCTGTCTAACTGCAGTGTGGCCAAGGATTTGACACCTAGCAGTGTGGCTTCGCTCGTTGCCTGTTGCGATCAAGCCTCTCCAGCAGCTGCTCCTGCACCGACACCAGGAGAGCCATCAACAACGGAGGATGTGAACATGCCACCGTCCGGCCCCAAAAGTATTTCTTCAACACAGAACGAGTCATCACGGAGACAGCGTGATCACAGACGTTCTGGCACCAATGCGCCCTCTCCGAAAACAGGTAAACATGTGTTTGACCCCACCTATCACTATTTCCACCCCAACCAGCCGCAGCCGTGGCCCAGGGAACGTGGCAAGGAAGTCGATGCTAGGGTCATGATCGACCGCGTTGCCGCACCGTTCCTGGCTGTCGCCGGCCACTGTGTACGGAGCGTGGGAGTGACTCGCCAAGTTAGCACCCCCGTGCAAGTGAAACCCCGGCCCGGACCCAGGTTTAAGAACGTCATTCCGTTCGAGGAGATGGAGCGAAAGCAGAAGCGCAGGCAGCGCGCAATCCTGGGCTCGATAGACGAGAGGGTAGCCCGCTGCTGGGGTCCTGGCTTTGCCATTAGGAAGAGGGTGTGTCGTCCTGCTGAGCCTGTGCCTGGTACAAGTAATGTATTGCCTGCTCTGCTTCATTCTACTCCTGCAGATGGTCAGGCTGGTGCTACAGGAGCTCCGCAGGAGATCTCACACAGGGCTGTAGTTGCAGAAGACGGCTTCGGCCCAGGAAGGCCAGCCGAGGGAAGACCTGCCTTGAATGGATCGCCAACTCGGACAGCTTCAAATCAACCGGCTGCAGGCGTCGAGACTGCGGTGAGAGCCGCTGATGAAACCCGAGCCATGGCACGTGCCCTGACACACGAAGCTACTGCTGCTGCTGTTGCTGAATGCACACACAACTATGCATCAGAAGAGGAGCGGAGGCGAGACATCTCAGCTGCCCTTGCCGCCAGGCGATTGCCGGACGACTTCCTGGCGTGGCGCATTGATGACGCGCTGACGCTTGTGGGCGCGCTGGAGAACAGCAGTGGCCATCAGCTGACCACCCTGATGGAACGGGTCTACGGCACAATGTACCATCCCCGACAAACCGCCGAGCAGAACACGAGTGCTCATGGGCAGTGTACACCATCCAGCCATGATTCTACTGCACTTGACGGACACACTGGGAGTCGGGTGTATCCAACGGTGAAAGCTGCTAGAAAGCAGACTGCAACCGGACAACAGAATAAGTCTTCATCCAAACAACGGCACGAGCCTCAAAAAGGCCAAAGCAGGCAACAGCAGCCGCGGGGACAACGGCAGCACGAAAGTCCGCCACAAGCACAGATCGGAGGTGGAGAAGGACAGGACGAGCAGGAGCCCACACGGTCACACCATGGCACGCCTGGACAGATTACGACCGTAGAGTCTCGCTCACGTCCATACGAGCCCGTACATGATCCAGACATTATTGAGTACGCACGGCGCGATACTGAGCGTGTACAGCAGATATACGACGCAGAAGACGAGCTCGAGTTTGCAGCACTCTTGAATCAACCACCGATGGTTGTCGGCAAGGCAGCTATGCACAGAACGGTGCGGAAAATCCGGGCACCGGCGAATCGTCCAAAGGCTACACGAGTGCGAGCACCCGCTGCACCAAAGCCGACGCGGACCGATCAGGGTCCTCCGCCGCCCGATCTGCTCCTGGCTGTGCCGGGACAGCGGGAAGCACGGAGAAAGAAGACCAATGAACAAGGCAAGAAGATGCGCTACGTCAGCGTGCCGGACCCCACCGTCGGTCTTCTCACAGCTGGCATGGCAAATCTTCTCTACGGCTTTGGCGGTCGACGTCACCCATCGGCAGGACAGGGTCGTCACACGCACCTCCGATCCCTGGAGAGGTCCAGGGCAGCCTCTAAGCAGCCCGGAAGCGACGCCAGCCGCATCATTTTCCCCACGTTACAACGCCCGCTGCACCGTTCCAGGCCGGTGTCCTCGTTGCGACTCACGCCGGATAGGACATCACGTCCGCTGACGGCCTGGATGCCACTCCATAAACGGTTCCCTCTGGAAGAACAGAGCAGTGACGTCGAGTCTGGAGACGAGGGCAGTGAGGTCGTCCGAGTGCGTGCCGCCTCTATACGTGGTCACGTGTACAGCCGCATGTGCAGCGCCCTCCAACCGGGTGGTATTGAGCGGAGCACCAGCGCCGATCCGTACTCTCTCCTGACCAGGGGAGTGGGAAGCAATCCTTTTGCTGCCCCAAATGCACGACAACCGCGAGCCGATCATGTGCGACTTGCGCGCATAGCGCATTACTGGCGACACGACTCGCCACGTGAATTAGAATCTGGAAACACGCCGACGCCGATCCGAAGGTATAAACGTCCGTGACGTCAGTTTCACCTCCAGTGACATGAACGAACCCAGATTTCGCCTTTACTCCCCCCCCCCCCCCCCGGCAGAATAGCAATGGAAGGCAACGCTAGACAACGGAAGACATCACTAACAGTTAGACCATTGCAATGGAAGGCAGCGCTAGAGAGTATACATATCAGTAAGATTCTGTAGATCCTGTTGCAGCCTGGGCCAGGCTGTAAGGGTGCGGGGGGGGGGGAGGTTGGTTGGTCTTGAAGCAGACAGTGTGCATGCCAGTGACTGACGATGTGTGCAGTTGACCGTCTATGGCGCTTCCGTGAAGCATGCGGTACTCAGTGCACAAGTGTCTTGTGCAGTGCGATACGACTTTGTGAACTGCAAGCAACTACTACTACTAAGTTGCTGAGATGTTTCTGAGATGTTTCAGCGTGCTGCTCGTAAAGATTTCTAAACACCAGCGCATGTACCTACCCTGTATTGCAAATCATATTGATTCCGTCAGCCAAATTTCCAATGGTTATGTCCCGTCCGTATTTCCAGGATACCTTGTCTGAAATTTTCCCTCCCTCATTTTTTTGCCAGAACGAACTTGTCATACTGATTGTTGAATTAAATTATTTTTTATAAATTATTTGTCTCTTCATTTACAGTTAGTTATATCTGCATTTCAGCACATGTAGTTCAGTAGTTCTATTTGAATCTCACCGTCATAGGGTATGTACTGCGGTAATGTGACTGGCTTTGTGTGATCTGTGAAAGGCCCGCAGCAGCCGGGACCAACAAGTCGTAAAATACTGTGTTTTCGACTTCCTTCTCGGGGCACCATTTGCGTACTTGGGTTGGCCGGGTGATGTTTGTAAATGCACATGAAAATGATCATCAGGAATTATGAATTAATGTGTGCCACTGTGCAACAAGTGCTGAATGCGCTTTATTGCTGCATGTCTTGTCATGATCAGATCTAGAAGTGGAGCAGTTATTACTGTATACTATGTAGTACCATATTTTCCGGAGTACAAGCAGCACCCCCCCCCCCCCCCATTTATTGCCACAGAATACAGACTTCTATCCTATGTAATCATCCCGGAGTATAAGCCGCACCCCTTTTATTTTTTGGGGTGAATTTGATCGAGTGTTCAAAGTGCGGCTTATACTCCTGCAAGAATACGGTACATGGTGTTTACAGAATTAGAATGGATTCTGAACTTCTGCGGAACACAATGTGCTAGACAGTATGGCCCGAAAGCGAACATCCCGTGTTGGTGTGATGCAACCTTGCTAACGAGCATGAAGGAAGGAGTATTACTCCTTGGTAAGAAATGCCTGTGCTGCGTATGTGTCAACAGTGCAAGACCGTCCGCAATGCTCTCGAGAACTAGCACACAGACACCGCATTCTCCGGAGTATAAAGAGAGGTTCTGCTATACGTGAAACGCAGAGAAATCACGTAGAGCCGGGAACTCTCTTCGCGTTCCCGTAACGTAAAGAAAAGCTGTTCTGCTCTACGTTCGCGTAGAGAAATCACGTGAAATGTGTACTGGGACTTTCCCCATCCATATTTGGCAGTTTTCTGCCTGCAGTTGATTGATACCCAGCAGATCCGTACGCATTTTCTCTGCGTGTGCCACAACGTAGAGAACCCCATCTCCGCGTAGAAATCTGGAGCCAAAACACGCGAAGCCGTAGACTCTAACCCAGACACCTGCTCTCTACGTGATTTCTCTACGTTTCACGTATAGCAGAACCTCCCTTAAGCCGCACTTTATTAAACACTTGTAATCCACCCAAGAGAACTCGATGCTGCCACTTATACTTAGTTTAGTACAGTACAATGGTCTTGCCACTTATACTTTAGTGCAGTACAATGGTCTAATGAACCGTGAAATGCAGGGTAGGTGCACGTGTCTGTATTTCATGACAAAAAATCTTTAAAAAATGTGGGTGCGCTTTTACCCCGGAAAATACGGTACACGGCGCGAGTAGTACCGGATCGGGCTGGAAGAAAGGTAGAGTGAGAGCCCACAACAACTAGTACATGTAAGTAAGTACTACTTCTTATCCACCGGCAACGTGCCTTTGAAGCAAAAGATAAGATTCATCAACGGTCGACACAATTCAGCAAAGCATCCAAGGCGAGGGCAGCCTTGGATCATGGAGATGACATGACAAGTAAAAACGGAACTTGAGAACAAAACCACTCCAGCGGACAGGCTATCGCCAGCATTCTAACCAATTCTTGGTCCAAGAACATGATGCTACCAAGTAAAACATAGCTGTATAGTTAAATCTGGACATTTGAAAAAGAATTCTAAAAAGAATTAAAAAAAACACTAGGGAGCAAGAGCATCATCTCTACCTGTAGCATGATGTCATGAAGAGGAACGCAAGACTGCTGCACAGTGCAAACATGTCACAGAGCTGAAGCAAACATCAAGGAAAAAAGAAAGCGGGCTATATTGCTTATATGTCGACGCCGGGGCTGTGGCGGCTACTTTGGTGCAATCTCAGGCATGAGATAGCTCTAAGAATAAAGTGATCACAAGCATGAGAGAGAGAGAGAGAGAGAGAGAGAGAGAGAGAGAGAGAGAGAGAGAGAGAGAGAGAGAGAGAGAGAGAGAGTGAGAGAGAGAGAGAGATAGACAGAGACAGATATAGACATAGATTCAGAATGAGTGCTGTGTGAAAAGAAAGCTGACAACAACAGCAGCATCTTCCGTACTATGGTTTATACACCGGCAATACAAAACACTTACCAGCAGTTCCGGTAACTATGTCTGCACCGGGATGTGTAATTACATAATCTGTTATCCAAAACAGCTGTACTGCAATGGCATTCGATATGCGCGTCTGGACGCAGCACATCAACAACAGCTACCAGTAAGAAATGGTAAATCTACTACACGAGCAATCCAATCTCAGCTAGAACAGCAGCGAGAAGCACATTAATACTACCGCTATGCAACTAACACCAGGAGAGGCAGTGACCTCAGTCAGTTGGAGGAGCATTCGACGTTACGTCACCGCCAGCACTGGTGATGTAAACACGATGTCATGTATTAGCATCCATGCCTGCACTGACTGCAGACAGTGGATGTGCACACGTGACAGTGTACATGATGCTACAAGCAGGTACCAGCCAGACCTCAGCATATAAACGTATGCACCTGTCAGAGACCATGTACTTTTAGACCATTTCCACGCTCTCGTCCCACATGCTGGCGTGCTTGTCGCGGCGGCCGGACCGACCCGAGCGCTTCTTGTCCTTGGACTTCTTGCCTTTCGCGGCCGCCTTCTTCTTCTCCTTGTTGGCACGGCTACGTTCGCGCTCCGACTGAATCTCCTCCATGGGTGTCGGGCCATTCTTGCGATAACTGTGCACCGAGATGGCTGACACTAGCAGGTGAAACAGCCAGGCACCGGCTGCGATGAACGAGCATGCGCGAGCAATGTACATTCCTGCGTGGAAGTCGACGTTCGCCACCTTTCCGTCGTCGTCGCCGGACAACTTGAACAGCGATGCCGCCGCGCAGTGCGGTGGCTTTGGAAGGTTGCCGTGGTGGTGCATGAATGATGTATCCCAGTCGGAGAGGAGCTTTCTGCAGAACACCTCCAAACCTGCCGTCACCAGAGCTGCGGTCAGAAGCGCTATGGTCGTCAGGAGCACAACGACGATCAGCTCCAGTATGGAGCACGCCGAGCGATTTGGCTTCTGTGAGCTCCACCGGTAGTAGACAAGCAGTGCTCCCAGCAGACACACGATCATCTGCATGGACGCTGAGGCCAGGCAAAACCTGCACAGGTCCTGCTTGCCGCTCACCGGTACCATACTGGACTGCAGGTTGACCAGCGCCTGCTTCGCGATAGTGCAGTCATTGCGAGGACTCCTGTGCTCCGAAAAGTTGCCCATGCTTGCGAACAGTACGCAGTTGCCGCCGCCGAACACGCAGTCATCAATGGACGCAGATGCTTTCACAAAGCCGTACAGCATTCCTGCTGATGCGCCCACCACGACAAGGTAGAGGATAATTTTCAGCCCGCGAACAGCTCCATTGGCCATGATTTCGACTAGAGGACTGTCTCCGTCAGACGAAACACAACTGTATAATTGGGTAACCTATTATGTAGAAAAAACAAGGGCAATCAAGCAAGGCTTTTCCTCAGAGGATCACACCGTCCTAGGCTATGAGGAAGCCCCTGTAAACAGCTACAAAAGCAGGGAGTAGTACTAGTGCAATAGTGCAATACGGTCCGGGTAGTAGTTCCTTCGCCAGCATACAAACAAATGTACAATTTCTCGATTTCAAAAAGTGCTTTTGCTTTGGAGTGATTGCATCATGTCAGATCATGCATTATGCGCATGACATCATCACCATGTCGAATTCAAAAAATAATTGTTTGAAAGTCCGATCCTAAGTCGAAGATCAAGCTTGCAAGACACACAAGATCAAGAAGACAAGAGCTCTCTCTTACCTCCTTTTGTGTTTTGTTCACTACATGTATTGGCCTTTACGTACTCATAACCACACAGTAATCTTGGTGCTTGAAATTATTTGAGCAACTGGTTTCACTAGCGGTAAACGTATCGTTAGCATGGAGGACTTTCCAGAATTGTTCACGAAGTTTGAGTCAGATGCATGTGCCAGTGGTCGGCTGGCGTGGCATCCCACATGCGTTGAGGACGGTGTTCCAAAGCGCGTGCAACATGCAGCTGACGGAGCGTCAGGACTCCTAGTGGAACCGGTGCGTCTTGAGCTTGAGCCCTACTACTACCTGTAGTACAGGCCTGTTCATGAATTCCGTAGCTAGCTGTGAAACACAATGATTCAGTATTGTCAATACAATACATGAAATACACTGTTCCACTCTGTCATTGGCACTGTAGCAGCGACAGACTAGACACTGCGTTTACGAAGTACATGTAGCATGTTACAAGTTCGACATGAAAATAATGCAATCGAGTCCTGATGTGACAAACACCGATGTTAATATGTGCAGGGAAATTCGTTCTTTTTAGCCGAAGTTCTCTATAGCGGGGATGCACTCACACCGTAGAAGCATCACGACATGACGGCTACCCTGTGTGGCTGCATGAGTGCCCTTTTTTTTACATGTGTCGTGTGCGGGGTGGAGGCGTGCGCTATCAGAGAGGGGGGGGGGGGGGGGGGGGTGGTATTGCGCCCTGTCAGTTTGGCTAGAACCCTGAGAAGGTGATGCCAAAAATTCCGACAAATCACCGAGTCTGGCTGGCCGAGTGGTCCAGTACTATTTCCGTTCAATTTCGAACTAAACGATGCACCAAACCTGAGTGATTTGTTGGTATTTTGTCCGGGCGACTTCTGGCACTGGCCGAATGACAGTAAAACGTATCGTAACCCTGCCCTCCCGGGTCCCCATTTTTAAAAATGTAAAGTTTGCCGATGCCTGTAGTCAGTTGTGACAGTAGATACATGTCCATGAGCTGTTTGAGAGCTCATGTTTCAATGAGCTGGACATTGTGAGGACAGAGTGCATCCTCTCTCCCTCCTTGCCCCTGTACCCCGAGCCGTCAAAGTCGGTTACTCTGATCAATTGGTGTCGGTGTGGAAATGTTTGCTCGAACTGGCGGAATATTGGTCTTCAAAGCATGAAGTTGCGGATTTGACAGCTGCTGTGAATCGAATGTGCAACTTCATGTTTTGAAGACCAATACCCCGTACCCCTTACACGTCTGTAGATTGCATACAGTACTGCCGGGTGCCGAAGACCGGGGGGGGGGGGGGGGGGGGGGCAGCCTCATACCCTACACCCTACATGTGTAGGTCGTTCTCCATTTCATCACTTTCATGTACATGTACTGTGTTTATGCACAGTCGAGTCACGGTGTAGAATATAATTATTGGTATGCTGTGCATGGGGAAATCCTAGCCCGTTTGTTCTCCGGCACCCAGTTATTGGAGAGTCGACAGTACTGACTGTACTAGTATTTTGGAATGCAAACAGTTACAACGGTGTACTGTTTACAAATATTACACAGGAATGAAGCAAAAAAAAAAAAAAAAAACGGTTTGCTTCATTGCTGTGTACAGTAATATTTGTGTTACTGGCTCTGTCCACTGGTCATTGAGCACTGTAAGCAGCCTGAGGACTTCAGACAATGGTGTACTGTTTATGTATGTAGTAATCACATGTGATAGAGAGCGCCTATACTACAACTGTTTGTCATCATGATGCAACCATTTTTGACTTGTGTTCGATCGAACTATGGTGCCGAGGGAAAATGCGCTTGCATCCGATCGGAGTGTTACGCATTCGTTCTCTGCTGGCCTAAAGTAAATCCACCTCTACCCTGCTGTGCTTGTACTCTAAAAAATAAAAAAAATCACGGTTCGCGTGAGACTCGGCTGGAAGCCGGATTTTCCGCATCCGTAGGAACGCCACCACCCTTCAAGGATCAAGGCGCAGATGATTGTACTCTAGCGGACTTTGAAATCCGTTGAGAAGTCAAGCGGCCACGGGGCGCTGGCCTTGCAGCCGCGAGCACCGCTGGTCTGCTTTTACGGTGTGTTTACATGACCTACAGTGAATGTACGCATTAAAAGCAGTAAGGGCGCCGGCCCCGGTCATCCCATCGGATTTCAATGATTATGTCCACGACAGCATTTTTGTTTGCTTGTGCGTGTCTGTCTGTCTGCAGCATGGAAAGACGGACTACTGGCGCAAGTGAGTACAGTAACTTAACTGCGAATAATGACCCTCGATCATGCATGAGAAAAGTGCGGTTATTCGTGAGTTGTCACTATTCATGAAGTTGAAAGTATGCAGTCAATATTAATGGTCACTGGGCCTGAAGGTTGTGCCGTTACTCGTGAGTTGTTGTTATACCCGGGGTCGCTGTGTGCCATCCCTGATTGCAAACATGCACGTGTAGACATGCTACACTAGGCCCTAACTAGGGGTATGTTCTTGAATCCTCTCGGGAAAGGTCCGGGAATCTGCGAAACGTGTAGTACTACAGGTTACACTATTATGCCCACTACCGTAAAGTACCGCCAGAGCGCCCCACCTTCTCGTCCTTTCGTGGTCGTATTGTGGAGGTGATTTCCCACCCGTAGGTCATACGACACAGACCTTGTACACACGTCGCACGCTGTGCACTCAATCCGTAGATCTAATCAATTTGCCTGCAAGCGGACATGAGTTCCACACAAAAACTGCCAAGTGTGACCTTAGTATACTACGGTTCTCACGCCGTACAAACTTCGCTGCACTCTGCCATACGAATTTCCTTTCCCTGGCTGTAAAATCAAGGTAGGGCGCTCTCGCGAGACGGGGCACTCTGGCGGTACTTGACGGTAATACCACCAGTTACTAAGCAATCAGCATGAGCTGATTGTTTAGTAACTGGTGGTATTAATGGGCATTATAGCGTAGTTTGTACATGTAGCCCCTTTGTCCTCGTTTTCTTTTCTATAAATTATTCCTTGCCTCTCCATCCGGGTCTAATGTGCAAAACGTTGGAAAATCTTGTGTATGCTCTCGAGACTTTAAGGGAGCCGCACATGCCTTGTGTGCCAAACCGATGGTCTTGAGGATGCGACCCGAAGTCATCTGATTTGCATCCTCGCCATGGACAACACACGTGATTGGTCGATTTGCAATCATTCCTCGCGACCAAAGCTGTCTTTGTCAGTGCAGCAGTTTAAAATTACGTTTAACACTGTCTTGTTCAGTTATGAGTAGAGTCCACACACTCTCTTCCATTAACACTGCAATAGTTCAACTCGTTTCACAATAATTATTCCAACGTATTCCAACTGTCTTGTTGTTGCAAGGACTTACTATGAGCCTCTATTGTTGAAGTCTGACGGCCATATCCTTGCAGTGACAGTGCAGTCACCGCCCAAACTGGTGGCCGAGACGCATCTCACACTCAATGTCAAATCTCAATTCGATCAGGTATGGCACGACAATAAACTATTTGACTTACATAGTTGCAATGCGCAAGTCTACCTCACATACACATGCGCATAGTCATGCGGGTCCCCGCGTGTCTAATTACTCCGGTTGTCCCGTATCAGCAGTGCAGTATGTTATGCTGCACGCCCTCCACACACGCACGCACACACACACACACACACACACACACACACACACACACACACACACATAGGGTGCAGGCCTAAATGTGGAGTGGATTGCGCTCCAACTGCAGATCAACTCCGGTGAATATAACCGAGGCCTTCTGCAAAGATATCTGTCAGATCCTCTGGATTTCTGAAAGTATGTTAGGGGCTATCCGGCATTATCGATCCTTTTCACGAAACGAAAAAGTTTAGTTGGGACCCTCCCCCACCCCCTGAACGAAAAATAGATTGACTTGATAGCAAAAATGCCTTGACGTCTCACATATCAATATTTTTCAAAACGAAACTCCCCTTGACCCACCCACCCATAAACGAAACTGTTTCTCTTCGTGCAAAAGATCGATAATTATGGACGGCCCCATTTCAGTATAAAAGGAAACCGCCGATATACTGACGCCATGACTAGTTTGCTCCGTCAGACCACCATCTAGAGGGTTCTACTCACTAATGTCCGAATCCTTGAATGACCGAGAATGGATTGTTGGTGAAATCATTTCACATGTATCACGACTCTACTCCTAGACGCTGCATCCCACTTCTAGGCTATAACGTATTGGCGGAATGTTTTCGATTATCATGATCTTGAAGATCGAGCAAGATGCGCTTGATGTGCAGTCCGAATTGACACCGGTATGACTATTCATACCTATGTTGGTGCTGCATCTGCAGGCCCGGAGTCTGTATTTTGCGAATACTTCGAAGTACACTCAAACGCCTCTTATCCGGACGCCTCAGATACGGGCACGTCTCTCTACCGGGCACCTTCAGCTTTAGTTCCTTTAGCACAAATACTTCGAATTTGGGGGTTTTGAACTTTTTCCGTATTCGGAAGTGCTTATTTTTCACTGCCAACCTATGTAATCCACACATATTTAATCAATGGGTTCCTTTTGTATCCTGAACATGTGCAATACGTTCCAAATAAACTTCTTCAAAAAGTGATATGATACATGGTAGATGAGTTATTCTGAGATACGGGCAAATCTGAGATATGGGCAGTACCCGGTCCCAAGGTGCCCGGATAAGAGACGTCCGAGTGTACCGTACATGTAGATACTCGTGTGCATTATGTGTATGGTTTGTGCATGTGACTAGGCTGGACTCATGGTCTTCGTGGACGATGAACATTGGTTGAAGACGGTGGGTTTGCTGGTTACTAGTATTCAGATATCATATTATGGTCTCTCGGAACTGCAAGGCTGTTTCATGACCGAAACGTTGAAATACATTTTTCCTGAAATGAATTTGTGAAATGCAGCGATTGAGTGCGAGACTGTGTTGCTCACAACTCACTTTTTCTGAACTGCAAGTGCATGAAAATAAAAAAAAATCTGAATCAATATTTCATTTTGTATACTGGGTCATCTCCGGGATTGGTAAGAAATCCTGGAAGAGGTTATTCAGATCATAATAATTATTGTGTGTTTCATTGTTGCATCTGTGCTCTTGCATTGCTATCTGAAGATCACGTGATGCGAAACTTGGAGCTGCAGTACAGCGGGACTCGACTGCTTGCATCCTCGCTCTCTGTGCGCGAGTGTTTGTGTGCCAGTATCTTGCATGCTACACTTCTGTCCAGAGAAATCCAACCTCGTGAATATAGTAGCGCCGCTTTCGAGTGCACAGACCAGTGTGTGTGGTGCTAGGGCTGCGTAGCGCCCGGCGCTATAATAGTATTATATTCGTGTGGTTGGACGTCTTTGGCCAGTACTGTGGTAGACACGTTGCCTCCTGTTGGAGACAGAACATTTTCAAGGTTGCAACAGTGGGTTTTCAGTGACAGTCATACACCTAAGCGGCCACACAGTTTCTCCACAGAGAAGCTGCGTATAAAAATGTGAATGTAGGAGGATGTTACCTTCTCGTGCCAGTGGTGCCGTCACTTGACCTGAACGCTTTGTACTCTGCTGCACTACCTGCTTCCCAGGGGCTGGAGTATTGTGACGGCAAGATCTACTTGGGCTGCGTGGTCACCAATGGTTTCAGCGACTGGTCGACTCAAGACTGGCCCAGCAACAAGCTGTCCATTCGCGTGTACGCACTGCCCAATGACAGCTGTGTGGTAGGTTGGTTAGTGGGCTATTCAAAGTGGTTTTCAGACGAAAAGTGTCACCCGTTAAAATGTTAGATTTGCTTCCTCGTTATATTTACTAGTGGTGTGCACGGGTAGCCGGGTACCCGTGCTACCCGTGAGGACCTCGGGTAGACGGGTACCGAATAGTACCCGAAAACCCGAAGTCGCAGATGACATCATGTACAGTGCACGTGTACAAATAATTCACGCATATCTACCCAGTGCGAAAGGGAAGGGGCCGGTGTGCCTTGTGGTCTTACCATGGAAACATTACCCGATCGGGTACCCGTGCTACCCGTGGAAAACTACCCGGACCCGATACCCGAAGAAAATGCTACCCGACTCAGCCCTACTTATTTACATGTCTTACAGTAGTAGCAAGAGTGCATAAAAGAATTTCGTGTCATTCTTGCTTCTTGTGTTTGTTTGTTCTCCTCTAGTTTTCTTATGTTCGCGGAGAAGGCGGAGAGCCGGAACGCAGAACCATATATTTTTAATTTTTTCTTTAATTATTTGCTTTTTACCAGGCGTGGGCCATCCCCGGCCGGCCCTGATCATAGGTGCCAAACATTTAAAAAAAATTATAATGAAAAAAAATCAACCAAAAAAAACTGTTTATGGACTCTTGGTAGTAGTTCTGGCCTGCCTCATCATCACGGTTCTATTGTGGCACGGTCAAGGGCTGTGTTGGGGTGGAGGAGAGGCAAACCACAACCATGACATCATACTGCAGCTACAAAGGTTTTAAGGTGGAACGTTCCCCACAGCAGTTTCTACAAGGCAACAATTAATGTTGATCACTGACATCATATCACACGGTTGGAAAATACGCTCACTGACGGCGTTGAACAATGGTGTGCGTTTCTGAATGAATGAGCTTCGTTCACTTGATGAACTACTTCTCTGAACGAAAGAAAAAACTTTGCTGTTCATATCCTCGTTGTCCAGGTGGAAGCTGGATCGGGTGATGACTGGAAGATGATCCGCATTGCACACCTGGCCATGGGTGATCAGAAAGTGAAGCTTGGCGTTTACACGTGCTCACCCACAGCCGCCGGTGCCTCCACCGTCTTTCACTCTCTGAGCATCAAGGCAACGAGTGGCTATGATCACAAAGCGTAGCTCACGAGCCACATCCGGAACAAGACCGTACGATAAAGCTGTCAATGTCCTACCCAATCACTGAACTGTACGTAGCCTAAGTTGTGGATTGCAATGCTGGTTTCAATGAAGAGTGCTAGACTAGCAAACTAACGTTACCTAACGCTGGGGATATTTCTTGATACTGTACCAGACCCCGGAACGTTGCAGTATTCATCAGGACTTGTGGATATGGTCCCACTGAGCAATGCCACGTTATTACCCATGTATGCACTATTTTCCCGGCTCTCAAGCTCAGTTTCTGCTAACTGGGATGTTGAGTTGTTGGGCATTGTTAGCAGTTTCAAGTGTTGCAGCTTCTAAAGATGAAGAGAGATCTCAATAATTTGGTATGGGGACCCCGGGCCGCGGCAACTCAATCTCTATGGCAGAATTCTACTTGAAGTAAAGTGGAATACTAGTATCCGCATTGTTTTGCTCTTTTAGAGATTTTTGAAAATGATTTTTAAAAATACACTATTTCCTTGGTCCCTATGGCGGACACATACATTAATTGTTCATCGTTTTTGCAGTAGTTCTTGCTAGATTAGGCTTCAAACACACTAGCGTTCATCATCATAACTTAGCCGCCTTGATCTCTTTGCAGACAAGAGCCTTCTTGTCACGTGCCATCTGCATAGAGATGCATGCCCCTTCTGCACAGTCTCAAACAAGTTATGTTATCATGTTATGAAATGATTTCTTGGTAATGACAGACAGCGGCCTTCCAACTGAACAGACTGACTTTGTTGTTGTGTGAACACTGGTGGGACAACACCGAAAATGTGCGGGGCGCTTGTTAGTTCTTACAGACTCTGGCGATTTCCATAAGCTGACATGATCAACCGCAACTCCTCGTTCACTGTTCAGATTCGGGCTCCCCTAATCCGGGTACCTTTCTGACTCATCTAACTATCTAGAGTCACACAAAATTGGGCTTTTTAACGAAAGACAGCCTCGAACACTATTGATTCGCATAAAATAAAAAAAGCTTACTTGCATGCAGTATTTAAAAGTATACAAGATCTGAGTTACGGGCAGTGCAGTGCTCGCTGCGGATCTGGGCACTTTTACTGTACATGTGCATCCAAGTCTATATTGCTGCTGCATTTATGATAGACTGCACAGCATTGCCACAGTTACTACTATAATGTGTTGTTTACTATGATCACAGCTCACAGGCAAAGACATAAGGGGAGCATAGTGACTGTGATATGAGGCTTGTTGTCCTCAGCCGGTTTGGAAGACTCCCCCCCCCCCCAGTTCAAGTACTCAAATTTTCTCCGATCTAATATTCAATTATGTATCCTTCATTTCCTCCAAATCCGATTCAGTAAAGGCATGTACGTACGATGCATGAAAAAATGCTCTGATTTATTCAGAGTACGCTTATTTTCAAAAAACAGCCGAGCAAGTAGTCGAATATTCGGTATAATTGCTTCACCCTTTAGTATTACTGCAGGTACTCCCAGTTTGACTAGGGTAGCACGCCTGTCACAGTTACATACAGCTCTGAACAGGATAGAGCGTGCTTCAAGTACATGTACAGCCATTTAAAATGCACATGTACATGGGCACATACTTTGCAGGCATGTCCAGTGGCAGGCAGCAGCCGTGCTGACCCAGCGCGGTGGCATTGTGCGCAAGCAGCATGGGAACCCAGCGCGGCGCTGCACAGCTAGCTACACACGTGCTGCCGACAGAGACCACACTGAAAGCTGCCCGGCACAAACATCACCATGCCTGCCTGCTGCAGCTGCTGCAGTTACAGGCTCGAGCGAGCTCTTCGAGTACAGGATTAAGATACACGAGGTGGCAATCATGCTTTACAGCTGCCTGACACTTACAATACACTGGTTTCGAGCTGCCCTCAGTTGGCCATCATGGGCTGGATTCTGCCAATTACTAACGTTATCACGTTCTACATGTACAACCACAGCGTATGGCAGAGCAGTGGGGTCATCAGTGCATCTTATCAGCCTGCACAGCGAGTCAATCTGACAGCGCAAACTCCACGAAAAATGTACACGAGAGTTTAACTGCAATATATACACGTATATACAGTGGTGTGGAGCAGACCAAAGAGAGAGAGAGAGAGAGAGAGAGAGAGAGAGAGAGAGAGAGAGAGAGAGAGAGAGAGAGAGAGAGAGAGAGAGAGAGAAAGAGAGAGAGAGAGAGAGAGAGAGAGAGAGAAAGAGAGAGAGAGAGAGAAAGAGAGAGAGAGAGAGACCGAATACGGCAGTGTCTGGAAAGCACGGGCACGACAGCAGCTCACCGCTTCATCTAAGCCAAGTGCTGCGTACACAGTTCTGTAGGTCTCTGCTTGGCTGCTCTCACACGTCCTTTACTGGCCTTTTCAGTTGTTTTCTTCCTCACACGTTCTTTTTCCAAGTTGATGAAATATTTACATTTGGACGCCACCCAATTTCCAAAGTAAGTCAAACGCTTCCCGTCAATCCGATCCGTATCCTTCATAACCACCAGCCACCCAGCGGCACGAAGGTCGTCCACTTGCTTTCTCAAGACGCCGCTCGGCAACACGGCCATGCCGCGATTCGCCGCCCTTGGCTTGACGACCGTGTCGCGCGAGTCCTGGAAAAGCACGGCGACCGGCCAAAAACCGGGCGTAGACGGCTGCCAATTGAACAGGTTTGCTTCTTTGATTTCATCGCACCTGATAAGGCTCGCCGTCGCCTCGTCGTAGAAGTACACCAAGTCGACGACGCCGTGCTCGGTGGGAACGGACGGCAGCGTGGTTACGCCCGGCACGGAGGCCGATGGAAAGAATTGGGATAACTTTTTGGTGGTTCCGCCGCACACCTGATACTGAAACTTGGCACGCCAGGTGGTGTTGGGTAGAGTGCTGACCAGAGTGCTACACATACGGGAGTAGCGCGTTCCGTAAGCCGGTAGTAAGCCATGGCGACGCAGCGACAGTGCAAGTGCATCCTCTAGAATGCTCGACGGCTTCAGGCCCGCATGGCGGAGTGCCCAGCAGCACCGGAGCAGAGCACCGCGCGACATGGAGTTCGACTGCACGAAGAATTTATAATGGTGATCCAGAAACAGGTCGAGCATGCCAGAGACTGTGCTGAACAGCTCCGGGTGCTCCAGATCTAGGTATGCCGTCGAGTACAGCAGTTGACCCAATTTTTGCAGGAACTTCTTGTCCGGGTAAGCGCTGATGTCCTCTTCCATGGCGCGTATCTGCTCTGCAAGAATGGCTGTCACCCTATCAAGCACGATAGATAACAAATCAGCGTTACAAACTGCGAGTTTGGACAGGCAGTGAACTATGTCCAAGCATTCGTCCAGTGTTTGCTGCTCAGTTCTAGCAATGGCGATCAGGCGCCTACACAGAACCGTAATCAGCTGATAACTCTCGGTGACTGTGTCACGCTGAATCATGTTGAGCAGCGCGACCAGGACTGAAGAATCACAGATATCACCCAGGCACTTCTCAATATTGGCAACATTCGCTCTGTACTCGTTCACAATGCTCTCGGCAACATTCAGGCCGGCCACTTTCTGATCTAAGAATGTGGTTAGCTTGGCCAGGTGGTCAGCATCGCACAGTTGCAGCACTGCCGGTGTTAGCAGGGCATGCAGCTTGGAGAAGAGCGCGTGGTTGCAGTTCAACACGGCGGTACGCGTGTCTGAGTTGTCCAGTAGGATCTTCAGTTCCTCCTCGCCAACAGTGTTGTCCTGCTGTCTGCACTGGGAAAGTAGGTCACCAAGCAGCTGATCCACCACACGCTGACCCACGTCAGTTGGCACACCACCATGCTCCTTCGCAACCGCTTCTACGCAGCGCGCCCGGTCCACATTGTTTTGTGTACTGCGACTCAGCATCAACACTTCATCTCTGGGAAATGTTGGCAGCAGGGAAAACTCAACAAATCTTTGAGGACATTGCTGTACAGCGCACACACTCCATGATCTTATTCCGGATCCTATGCACGGCAGGCGCTGAAGTGCACCTGGAGTGCGCAGAGCATTCCTCCACATGATGGCTGTGGCCAGACTATTGTAACAGCAACAACATAACAATTCACATCGCCGTCTTCGAGCAATCGATTCTGTTCCTACAAAAATAGTGAAAAACACCACTTTCTTTCGCACATGGCCCCGGATTTCGATCATGATATGCTACAACAAGATTCAAGAATTTTCTTTTTCAAAATTTTTGCACTCGGCCTCGTACTACATAATAATTATTATTATGTACAGTACGAGGCCGAGTGCAAAAATTTTGCTCGTGGACCGCGTACCGGACGTAGACCTACTTGTACAATATTTGTACAGGGACCTTTCGCATTTGCTACGAAACGAATGCGAAACGAAAGTTTGATTCGATCGATCATGATTGTTCCCGTAAAAAAATAACTCTTCAAAGTAATTAGTTCAATGATTAGACTTCTTGACACAATGACAATCCAAGTACACTGTACAAGAGGGCTATATCATTATTTGTAACCCGGATCGCGGAGGAAAGTATTTGCTCAGTTTTCTCGCCATGCTTCACAGTTCGATATCAATGTAATTGCTCTACCTGTCGACATCTGAGTGAGAGCCCTGTCAGAGAGATCATGCAGCATTTCACCCCATTATCCATGCGCTTCCTTGCGAGACGACTACAGAGATTTTTGTGGGTTTTTCCAGTACTGATGTTCGTCTTCCTCGCTTATCGCCTCCTGACAACAGAATCAACGCACCCACTTCGCCAGTCACCCAAGCTGGGCCTGCATCAAGATAGTGCAGCGCAGGAGGCGAGTAACAACCAGAAGTTCCCCCCGCCAACAGCAGGAGCAGCAGCAAAAGACATCCTTCTCCACCGTAGGGATAAAATGCCTCTAATAGTACACTTGGACTTGAAGGGTGCTCCGCCTAAGTTTGCCTACCTGCGAGAGTTTCTGCCGTTCCTGAAAAGGCTTGGAGCTGGAGGCCTGCTGGTGGAGTATGAAGACACGTTCCCGTACAGTGGGCGCTTGGAAGTGCTGCGCTCGCCCCAGTTTAGCTATTCTAAGGAAGAGATTAATGAGCTGGTGCAGCTCGCCCACTCCCTGGACCTTTCCATTATTCCCCTGGTGCAGACGTACGGGCACATGGAATTTGTGCTGAAGCACCCAGAGTTTGCCAGCCTGCGAGAGGAGCCGAAGAACGACTGGTCGGTGTGCCCGCTGCGGGACGACACCATTTCCGTTCTGAAAGAGATGGTAGATCAGGTGATGGCGCTGCACCCGCATACCAAGTATGTGCACATTGGCGGGGACGAGGTGGACAACATGGGCCATTGCTCGGCGTGTCGGCAGTTCATTTCGCAGCACAGTCGCGTGGACCTCTACCGGTTCCACCTGCTGAACATTATGCAGTACATCGCTTCTCGTTGGCCGCATGTCCGGTCTTTGTTCTGGGACGACATGATCCGTGGATGGGATGTTGAGCACCTCAAGGTGAATTTTAGCACTGGGCTTTTTCCCCTGTTGGTTCGTGAAGGTGGTGTGTGTGTGTGTGTGTGCGCGTGCGCGTGTGTGTCCCATATGGTGCAGTGGCATGTGCAGTTCATTCCCAATCGAGAGGTTGCGGGTTCAATTCCCAGCGGTTATGGTCACACACATCTTTCTTCTCTTTCTCAGTCTCCTCCTGACTTTCCTTTCATTCTCCTGGGTGGTTACCTACAGCCAGTGGATGCTGAAGTATGTGATGTGATGTGTGTGCGGGAAAAAAGAAGAAAAAGGCCAAGAAGTAGGGATTCACTGGCCGGAAAAAACACTTCAAATAGCTGTGTGGTGTGCTCATATACCAGGCTGAATGGTGGCAGTCTATTCTTCAGCCTTGCAAGTTGTTGAATGGTGCAATCCCAGCACAAGTTGCTATAGCTTCTGCTGTAGCATCGCTATCATCGCCTCCGGCAATGGGCGTCAAAAGGTTTGTGCGTGCGTGCAAATGCACTTGCATGTGTGTATGTGTGTGCGTCTGTGCACTTGCATGTGTGTGTTTGTGTGTGTGTGTGTGTGTGTGTGTGTGTGTGTGCGTGTGTGCATATGTGTATGTGTGCGTGTGTGGCTACTTGTTTGTCTCTACTTGTTCTGCTTTTTTAGACGTTTGCCCAGTATGGTGACCCAATGGTCTGGGGCTATATAGATCACGTGGAGCGGCTCATTACACCGGCACTGCTGAAGAAGTTCGCTTCGGTGTTTCCCCGCGTGTGGCCGGCAAGCTCTTTCAAGGGATCAGGCGGAAAGGATATAGACTGGGTACCGGTGCAGCACCACATTAACAATCACTACTCGTGGAACAGGCTGATTGAGCATGGCGTGAGTACGGGTGGTGTGTGTGTGTGTGTGTTGTGCGCGCGTGTGTGTGTGTGTGTGTGTGTGCAGGTGTAGCCGTTTGTCTGTCTGTCTGTCTCTTACTGCGGTGTGGTGAGCCCGTACGTAGTAGAGTCGTGTTTTTAAGTCCATCCGTAGGTTGGGGATTTTGGGGGTTGTCAGCCTTCGGGCGGTTCAATAGCCAATTGTGTCGTCTTTCCAAGATTTCTTGTGGATCTCCTCTGCTAAGACCCACGTGGCCAGTTTTTGGCAGTGAGCAACTACAGCGAAACCTGTCTAAGACAACCGCTCAAGGGACCTGCAAAATGTGGTCTCTGTTGCCAGGTGGTCTCCTTATCCAGGGTCGTTTGGCTGCAAATAGCATCCCTTGGTCCTGGTTACAGTAGTCTTCTGAGGCAGGTAGTCGCCTTATCAGAGTGGTCTTTTCCTGTACACTGTGTATCTCTGGGGACTACTGGTGATGCCATTCTCTCCGACATCACGTCACTTTCTGCAGGTATCAATACTTTTTTGTTGTGTTTCGGCTGCCTCGTCTTGCGTGCTAGTGTGTGTGTGTGTGTGTGTGTGCGTGCGTGTGCGTGCGTGCGTGTGCAGATTTGTGTGTGTGTGTGTGTGTGTGTGTGTGTTCGTTGGTGCTACAGCTCACCAGCGTCGACTCAATCGGCGGCTTTGTCCTGACTGGCTGGTCACGCTACATGCACCACTTTGCCCTGTGCGAGCTGATGCCCTCTGCCATTCCTTCGCTGGCACTCTGCCTCGCCGTGGCCTCAGAACACACGCAGCAACTGGCGTCTGACCAGCACACACAGCTATCGTCGGCGCTGGGTTTTCCCCAAAAGATTCCCATCCGCAACGAGCCGCACTTTTCGGACAATGCTGACGGGCTCTCGTTTCCGGGCAGTGGTGTTTACAGCATAATCTTTCGCCAGGCCTTCCTGCTGGCCGAGTACAGCCAGGTGCGGCAGATCTTTGACGGAAAGGAGCGGGCGCGTGCCTCTGAAGTGTAAGCGTGGTATATTGAAACTGTGCGCTCGTGTGCGTGCGTGTGTGTGTGTGCGTGCGTGTGTGTGTGCGTGCGCGTCGTGTGTGTGTGCGTGCGTGTCATGTGTGTGTGTGTGTGTGTGTGCGTGTGCGTGTGCGTGTGTGTGTGTGTCTGTCTGTCCGTTTACGTGTCTATTTGTGTTTCTATTTATGTGTAGGTTTGCGTATGTATTTTTTACATGAAAGTGGGTTATAGAGAAACACAAGCTTCACTGGCTACAGAGCTGCTGCTACCAAGTGTACATGTGCCTGGAATCGTCCCTTTCTATCGGTGGGGGGGGGGTATTATAACACTCCAGCATATGCAATGCTAGATATTGGTTGGCTGGTGGCATGCTTTTTCTCTTCTACACCCACATGTAAACAGACTAAGGGGCTGCCATTTTCAAGCACGGGAATACCATCAATGCAGGTGTGCCTCCTTCTACTGCTTGTATCCCCTTTTCTTTTCTTTTTACACTGCCTGTGTGTCCTCCTGCACTGGTCACACAGTTTGTCGAAGAAAGCCGTGAAGCTGATGGAAGACGCCGAGGCCGAGCTGGGAAAGATCTACCCGCCGTCCGTGGTGCGGGAATGGCTTAGCACCAAGCTCTCGCATGTCCTCCGCGGCCTGCAGGTCAACACGCAGTAGCCGGCCCGTCGACGGCAACGTGACGACCTCAACGTGAGCTGCTGCCTTTCAAGTTTGCACCCGCCACGTGCCGTGGCCTTGCCCGTGTATACTCTCGCCATGCCGCCGGTTTATCGTGTATATTCAAACCGGGTGTGTAGATCCACACGCACACACTCTTGACCAGGGCATACAGGTTATCTATCACTGGCATGCGATCAACGCTGAGCGTGTTCGCCGTGTTGGCATGGCTCGCTCTTTCCCCGTGCCAGGCTGTAACATTGCGTGTGTTTGCTCACACGGCGCAGCCTGGAGCAAGTTGCTGCACCTACTACCACGTGCAACAATGTTTGCCTGGGAATCTAGTTGCAGCTCCGTGCGCTTGGCAAGGCGCTGCCAGCCGGTTTGTTATTGTGTACGCCGGCACGCTCAAAGTGCTTATCAGCTGCACAAGTGGTTCCCGAAGAGTCATGGATGTTCGGGTTTTCACCAACGCCCATGTATTGATCTAAGTGCTGACCAGGATTTCGATCGCCATTGCAGTACATGCAGCGCCATGAGTATTAGCATGGCTTATTTACCTGCTTCGACGCCGTTTCTCACTTGTCAGTTCCCTGTGTTTTCGAGCGGAGCTCCCACGGAGCCTTCATTCGTTCTTTTCCAGTACTTCTGAGTGCTAAGTAGTGAGTACCTGCTTCTGATGTTCGCCATGGACAGGAGCAACTGGGGATCTGTCCTGTTGGTGCCGCAGTCGGCTTACTTTGAGCAAGCCCCGAACTGATGGGGGTCTTGACGTAGATTTCACATCCACTTTCATTGCAGGCATATATGCAATTATCCCCACCACGCAAACACACAAACACGTATACCCTACCTACTCCTTATGCTACCGCATTGCTAACCCGGCTACTTAAAACTTTCTTCACCGCTAATCTTATCAAGGAGTTTTTTTTCCGTTATTTATGCTGTGGATTCTCGCACGACTTCATTTTTAGGCTGCGGACTTTTTTTGTCAGCACTGATTCTGCAAGCTGGCTCTTGCATCGATTTACTGATTTCTTACCGCAATATCCCGGCATTCCATTGTCCATTATTGGAATTGCCGCAGGCAAATGAAACACATTTGTGATATTTATTGACTTTAAAATGCCAGGTTGATCGCTGCGCTCCATCGTATAGCACGTTGTGTTATGCGTTGTGTGGAGTAGAAATCAGTGGAAGTCATAGGTTATTGTATGGAGTGGCAAGCCATGGAGGCAGTGCTAGATTACAGTAGTACAGCAGTGCTTGTGCCACTGCTTTGCCACTCCATGCAAAGCATCGGAAAGAAATGGTGCCATAATCGCATGCCCTCGCTGGCCGTTATGCAACTGTTCCTTGACAATGTTTTCTGCATGTGTGTAAAGCCATATGGCAGTGTTCACCAGTATACAATGTATTTCCTGTTGAAGCCCAGCGTGAGAAGAAGTCCTTTCCTAACACAGTCATACAGTACACCAAGAGTGGGGCAATGGATTCTTGTTCATTCTCTTCTCGTTGATTTGAGGCCATGTTCAATCTGTCACTAAATCCGATCTTCGGAAATCACTTACTGTAGAGTTGAACGTGTGGCGACTCTAAATTTAAACGATTTGCAAAAAATTTCCCACTTAAGGCGCATTCCGACTACCGAGAACCCCGTCGAACCGTAAATGGCGATAAACCGTGATGGACGTTCGCACTACCGGTGAACTTACCATTACCGGTACAGCTCTCACCGCGGCACTGAGAAGAGATTTCCCCCTACTCCCACCCTGAGCGCCTTTTTTACTGCTGGAATGCTGTTTCCGCCGCAGGAGTAAAACCTGTCCACCGGCAAAGTGCCTGTAACGTCCCGAGATCAAATCACCTTGGAAACTCTCCCATTCCGTCACTTTTTAAGTTTTTATCGTTAGTCTGAAAGCGGCCTGTAAGCAGGCAAACACTGTAACGACCCTGCCATCAGAACTTACACCTGTCTTCCAACCCCCCCCCCCCCCCCCATTTTCAAGTCTCCGCCGTATGGTTTCAGTGTGTTACCTTGTGTGCACACTCGATTGTAAGTCGCTTCATTTTGCAGCACACCGGCGGAAGATCGTGGAAGGGGCCCGCAAAGGCGCAGTGAAGTACATGACTTGTACTGTTATGTCACGATGTAAACATAAACATAATATCTTGACCAGTTTGAGGGAAAGACACAAATGGGAAACATAAATAATACTGTTATAATTATGTGTACGGTTTTGAAGGAGGGGTCTTTTTTAAAGTAAGAATAGATTATGAATTGTTGAAGAATAGGAATTCCCGCCACAGGCCAAGTACAGACCATACCACATAGCAGACAATCATGACTTCAGTAGTTCTGAAACCGAATAATAAAATAGAATGATAAGATGGTCTCTTCAGTGCTGCACAAATCAGGCTATTTAGACAGCATTGGTTGCCTTGTGTTGACTTGCTTCTCTTTTCGGACAGGCGCAGCACGCGTTCCGGGGCGTGCAGGCGGGGTTGCAGCAGGGGAAGTTCATCTCGTCGCCGCCCATGTTCATCTCGCCCGGCGCAAACGTCATGCCTTTCCCGTGCTCGGCCTTCAGCTGCACGATGCCGGCCAGCACAGCGCTGTACTCCTTCTGCGTAACGTCCAGCGGAAATCGCTCCTTCGTGTCCGTCTCGACGTCGAAGAGCAGCGGCGGGTCATGCTGCTGCAGTCCCGTCGCGTCCCAGCAGTCCTGATCGTGATAGGTGCTGCGGCAGTGGCTTCCCTTTGTGTAGAAATGAGCCTTGTACTGGTGCAGGCGAATGGCCATGAGAATGTGCCCGCTGTAGTACAACATGTGATCGCGGGGACCGTTCTCCGACTGGCCCGTCAGCACCGGCGTTAAGTCGAAACCGTCCGTTGCTCTGTCCTGCGGCGGCTTGCCTCCCGCCAAGCTGACCGCCGTCACCGACAAATCCAACGTGCTGCCCAATGCATAGGAGATGCTGCCGGGCTCGATGACAGATGGCCACCAGAAGATGCCGGGTTCTCGTACGCCGCCCTCGTACGTCGTTCCCTTGCCACACTTGAGCTGTCCCTGCTCCCCGCCCAGATCCACATCACTCAATTCCGGGCCATTGTCCGCAGAGAACATAACCAGTGTGTTGTTTTGAATGCCCAGCTCGACAATATGATCGAGAATCTGCCCAACAGACCAGTCGAGCTCTGCCAGAGAGTCGCCGAACAGTCCTCGCATTGTTGTGTTGCGAATGCCCGGAGCGGCAAACTGCGGCATGTGCGTGTGATGCGAGGCGTAGTAGAAGAAGAACGGCCCCTCGCGGTGCACGGTCATGAATTCCTTGATGTTGTCGACGTACGCCGCGTCGATGTTGAGCACGTCCGTGGGCTGAACGGCGACGGTGTTGTTGTGCATCGTGGGGCACGGGCCAAACTTGTTGTTGCTCTCAACGTTCGACGTACACTCGTTCTGCGTCATGGGCACACCGAAGTAGCTGTCGAAGCCCCGACTGGCCGGCAGGTACTGGGTCTTGATACCCAGGTGCCACTTTCCCAGTGCTCCCGTTGCATAGCCCAGTGGCTTGAGCATCTGGGCCACGGTGATCTCGGAGAGGTTCATGCCGCCATTGCTGAACGGGCTGAATACCGACAGACCTACACAGTGCATCGGCAGATGGCACAGTCAAAGAGCACGTTATTAGGGAGGTTTCGCTCTACGTAATTACGTATGAAAATCCGTGTCGTACGCGCCGTGGAGCGAGGGCAACTTTCGGTCCTCCGTAGGACTTTTTGAAATATGTTTTTCGCATTTTCCGGATTTATCCATGGCGACGTTCAAGCCGCGCGAAACACAAGGCACACACACCGCACACCACGTGCAAAATTAAATGGAAAACGCGGTTTCGGTCCGTGGTGCGTGCAGTGGGCGCATGCAGCCAACGCGTCTCCAAAGCAACACGGCATGTTTAGCATTCGTGGAGAAATCACATAGAGCGAAACCCAACAGCTCTGATTTTTACGTATGAAAATTACATGCAGTTCCTACGTTATGTAATTCCGTGGAGCGAAACCTCCCTATTCTCTATTAAAGCCAGCAAGCCAAAATAGTATCCTGGTTTACAGTGGGTTTACGCACGAGGAAGCTCGAGTGCGATTTACTTTAAAAGTTCAGAGGTGTGCGAGAGCTGTTGCATATCTACCACATGGTAACGCGGCGCAGCGATGCAATGTTGGTTCCAACTCCTTGAGTCCATCCTTGCATCAATTCGTCACATGATGTAGGCCACATGTCATGTACACTTTCTACAGCAGTCACGTGACCAAGATGTGAAACCATCCGTACTTCCAAGTATACTATTGTTAATGACATCTACATTGATGTGAAGCCGTATGGAGTGGCAGATTGGTGCTTCCAGTTTGTCCATTATAAAGACCTCAACATATTGCTGCAATTAACAAATGTCTCAATCTACACTATAACTGCTAGCACGGTCATCTGCTTACCAGTGCTGTTGAATGTTCCCGGTTTACCGGAGTATACTCCGGTGCGTGGGTACAGTCGCCCGGTCATCAGCGACGCACGCGATGGAGAGCAGACCGGCGCTGCGGAGTAGAACTGAGTCAAACGCATGCCCTCGCTGATCATGCGATCCAAGTTGGGAGTGCTGGAAAAAGAGAGAAGGAGAGACAGACCGACATACAGAGAGAGAGGGGGGGGGGGGAGAGACAGAAGAAAGAGAGAGAGGGAAAGAAAGAAAGATAGGGGGGGGGGGGGGTGTGAACATTCAAAACATGCATGAGGTATATCAAAATCAGTCAATGGTTGTCTTAGCCAATGAGAGTCTGCAAACCAACGAAATGATTCATCTTCAAAGGTCTGAAAGGCTGTTGGTGCTGGCATGCGCATGTCATGCCTGTTCTTTTTCGTTTGACACTCCTGGAAAATCCGCACGGCACGTAATATCATTTCCCAATTCGGCTACCAATTAGCTTCCTCTCTTGCCATGCATTATACACTGCGCAGCCGCACAAGCCCCAAACACGACTGCAGCAATGTGTCGTATTGTGGCCTGTAGAAAGTCAGGCAGAGCAATTGGACACATTATATCCATAACCTGTCAAGGCGACCACCTGTCCCCGAGGACTGAATCTACCTCGGAAATCAGACGACTTTGCCCAGTCCGAAGGGGGGGGGGGGTGGAATTCGGAGGTTCCACCGGGCGGAGACTCGCGGCACTAGACTGATTTTGTTATGCTTGGTACAGTGGGGTTGCGGACACAAGAGGGTCCAGGCATATCTATCATGTGTGGAGGTGTTCTAATTAGTGCGACATGGGTGTGATAGAAAGTAAAAATTGTACATTTTTATTACACTCCCCAGGCAGGAGTTTACTTGAACACAATAATCATGTATCATTGATTTTGATGGGAGATGTCCGCTAATGGCGCTATGGTCCAGTATGGATACTCCGCTATGTAAGGTTATGGTTGCATGACCCTGCACCCTTGATCATGGGAGTGTTGCAACCCTGCTACATAATAATTGCATTAGTATTCGCGGTTGTCCAAGGGTATCCTAGCGGTCGAAAAGTCTGTACCTCGTACCTCGAGGTCGGGTGTCCGTAACCGTTCAGGTCGCCATAGCCGACGTCATCGCCATAAACGATGATGATGTTTGGCTTCTCTGGGAGCTGCACTCGACGCCGCTCGAAAGACTCAGTGCTGTGCAGTTTGCTGCCATGGCCTGTGCTGGCCGAACAGCGGCCAGTAGTGGAGCTGCAATCGCTAGTAGTAGAGGCGGCCGCTGTAGTAGTTACAGCCAGCGCAACGACGGAGATGAGTACAACGTGCATCTTCATTCTTCACCCGGCAGTGCAGATCACGCAGAGAATCTCCCAAAACCACTAATGTCTGAGAACTAACTTGAAGTAAGAAACACGTGGATGTGCCAGTACGGCAGTAGTCCGATATTTCTGTCTGATGAATTTTCTGAACCTAGCTGGGCTACAATTATAAATTACCGGTACGTTGCTTGAAGAAAAATTTCCCTTCGTTTAGAACAAGAATGAAGTATGTAAGTCATTTTTTGAAAATATTGCCTTATTCAAGTTATTGGTGTGAGTGTCACTGTGTCAGTGTCAAGTTAGTTCTCAGGCTCATATTCTGACATGATATGATGTAAGGATGCAGTTTACAGGGTTATGGGCCGTTACACGCCTGATTGGTTGAGAGACTCACCTACTCTCCCCTGACTCACTTGTGAGGTCTGCATTCGCCACTCAGGTGTGCAAGGCATAGGCATAGTGGTGGCCTGCGGAAGCGAAGGCTAGTTTGTGTGTTTCTGAACATTCAAGCGATGCCAACGCGAATCCCGCGAATTATTATTATTATTATTATTATATGATGTAAGAATCGACTCAGTAGGCTGACAGTGGCTACGCTTGATCCACTGACAGTATTACGATCATGACATGTGCACATACTACATAATAATTATTATGATCACTCCCGGGTTGACTCCCACAGATTTTTGATACCTAAGCAGTCAAATATTCCTGCATATTTCACTCCTTAGGAAGTTAGGTGTTATCCTGGTTTCAGTGATCACCTGTTTCAAGGACAGCGGGAACATGAAACGGTTGACTGGTCACCCCTATGCATAGTGATTATGACGCTCATCATTCGCTCCCTTGTCACTGGACAGTTCTGTCCGTTTGGTTTTAGCGAATTCAAATAAAGAAAAAGAAAGAAAGAAAGAAAGAAAGAAAAGACAGAAAGAATGGACGAGCATTGTTACCAGGTTCCATATTATTTACTGTAGTAAGCTCTTCGGAATGTGTACCATGATGTGGGCAGTTATTTTAAGGCCCGGCGGAACTGATACAGTTCAACTTTTTGGCCACTAACATGTGTTTACTGCTGAGGAGGTCATGTGTATACTATGTGTATGCTATGTGTATACCCTCCATATCATACACAACGTATGACAGACTATGGTATGGACTCGGATGGAGAGCTAGTAATGATACATTTATAGAAAAGGACCAAGGAACTAACTACAAGGTTAAACTATAATGTCCATGTACAGTGTATATAATGTCAGTACCGTCGGTCAGTGTCGTGCAATGTTATTGCATGAGCTTATTTTAGTAACTGGTGGTGTTAGTGGACATTACATGTATAGCGTAACTTGTAGTTCCTTAGTCTCTTTCCTAGGCTATGGTATGGCCGGACGTACATGTACATGTATAAAAAATGGACTACTTCGAAGTAGTTACTACTAGTTACTGTCGCAAACATAGCACCCCGTAGTAGCCTACACTGACAGTCTGTAGGGAGACAGTATCCCATGACGGTTCATATCAAGGAGTAGTTTTAACAACCACTGGAGTGGTCCAGCGAAAAAATACCTACTCCCTGGATCACTACACGTACTGGTGTGCATTCTTGTACAGTTGCAGTCACATATACACTGAGTGATCAGTACTATACAGTCACAAACTCCAAACAACTAACTAACTAATTATTCATTGTTATTACCTGACGATGGCCAAGTGCCGAAACGTTGTAAAAATAACGGAACTGGTTCGGATGTGATGTGCAGCGCTATGGGAATGGGTGTGTCCACCCGAATTCTTTTCACTAACTAATTACTTACTTCGTGTTTGTCTGGCCTGTCTTCATAACGACCATGATGATACAATGGAAATGCTAAGTACATCACTTGTCTTTGCACTCCCTCACGTCAGGATTACACATCATACATTTGCAATACAATTAAATACCATACGATACTACTGTTGTGGACATGGAAATCCGGTCGCACGTCTAGCGGCCCCAGGGCGCTGGCCACGCAGCCGTGGATAAGCTGTACGGGAGTCGTAAAATACGTATTTTACGACTCCCTGCTGTACACACATGCATTTATGCGCTGCAGCGCGCTGGTCGCATAGGATCAACATGCGCACTGCACGCAGCGTTCTGTACGCGCGCTGAGGGCGCGGGCCCGGTCAATCGACTGGATGTCCGTGTCCGCTACATGTACATTGTACTTACAAGGGGTCATACACCTACAAGTAGCTACTAGTACTATACTTCCTTTCACGCTACCTGGCTCTAGTCTTGGTCCGAATATCGCAAATTCTACTGCACAAGTCAGGTGGAGATCAGCCCAGCGACTCGAAATAACACTCAACTCCATCAACAGCTCCATCATAATAATAGTATGCACAACATGCAGCACCATTGCCAGTCAGTAGACTCTACTACATCATTACATGAGCTGTTGACAGGACTGACGATATCGATACAGATTACTGTAGTGCCGCCTGCAGCGCCTTGCTCGTATCTCACCCACAAACCGTGCCCACCCTCCTTTCCATCATGTTGGCGTCTGTCCCGAACTAAGCCGAAGTAAACCAATACTGGCAATAGCGGCCTGCTACTCTTGACCTGTTACAGCGAGCGCCTGTAGGGCTAGGGCCAGAACTGGGCAGTAGGGGTGTGGAGGCGCCCGGAACCGAACGCATGTAGGGCATGCACCGTCGACTAGGTAGTTATCGCGGCAAGACGCGCAGTGCAAGAGTTATCATCCGGCAATTCCCCGGATCAGCTTGTGGTAGGTAATCGAAATGGGCGCATTTACCGACCCGGAACGATGTCTGGACGCATCGGCTGCAGTACGTGTTGTTGCTTGTCTCACCACACTGATGCCCGTGATGGTCTTCTGTAGCGTTGCTTGGCCTGGAGCTGTGGGGTCTTCCGCAGAATCGACAAACCTTTCCGTCATCGTACAAGGATCGATCGACATCGGCAGAGAAGCGTCGCGGACGTTTCCGTTCTGTCGCATTCAGAACAATGCGGATGGATCCCGAGCGGAGGCGCTGCGTGTCGGTGGCTTGCTGGAGCTGCACGAATCTTTCGATCCGGAGAAGGAAGTTTGTGGCGACCACGGTGGCTGGGCGGCCGTCCAGCAGAGCACCACCTTCCTGTACCTTGTCGCGAACAGCTTTAGATACTCGCTGATCGAGGCGCAGGCTTTGGGACCGGAGGTGGTGGAGTTGTACTCCTTGGCTGCGCGGGAAGACGCGATCGTTGGCGCGTTGGCCTTCGACACATGCACATCAAATAGCTTAGCTGTTCAAGAGGTGCACGTCCTGTCCACGGATTCATTGGCGTACAGGAACTTTTCCATTCGACTGTTAGAGAGGATTCTCCCGGACGTGCCAAGCGGTTGCCTGCAGGGGACCTCGAATGAAAGCCCCACACTGTCCTTGTCGGATATCGTAGGCAACACACCTCATCTGATGGGAGTGACTGGACCCATGTCATCAAGCAGTGTCCTGGCAGCATCACCGTTCCTGACATCCGTTGAAACTATGCACACATCGTACTGGGCCGGTAGCACGCTGTTTGACGATGTGGCCGATTTCAGGTACCTGTTTCGCACCATAGCCTCGGACCGGTTCCAAGTTGAGGCAATTGCCGATCTGATTGAACACTTCCAATGGACATACGTATCACTTGTAGCTGCCGAAGATCACGTCTACAGCGGACAGGGTTACGACCTGCTCCTGGCCGAGGCTAGTCGACGCGGCACGTTCTGCTTCGACGTGCAGGCACGGTTCAACAAGGGCGCGGAGTTCCGCGCAGACCTGGAACGCATGGTGAGCGTCTTGAAACGGTCGCGGGCCCGCGTCGTCATTCTCTTCGCACCGGTGACCGCAGCTAAAGTGTTCCTGGCAGCGTGCGAGCAGGTGAACATCGACAATAAGATATTCATCGGCAGTCACGACTGGGTTAATCGTCTGGAGTATGCGGAAAACTCGTACCAGGCCACCATACCGATTTTAGGCTTTGCGCCGCGAAACGTTGTCTCCAGCACAGCCACCCAAATCACTGAAGACCTGAAGCGAGCGTTGCAAAATGTCACATACCTAAAGGAGGCTTCGGCCATGGATCCTTGGCTTCGGACGTACATTGAACAGCAGCTGAAGTGCAGGATTGAGGTACATATAGATGTGTGTGAGCTATCACCCGCGAGCGTGCTCCCAGCCGCTCGTCCCTGTTCGGACGCGGATTTTAAGCGCTTCATGCCGCGCCACACGATGGTGATCTCGGAGTCGATAGCAGTGGGAATGCTGTCGCACATGATGTCCGCCTTGCTGGCCAATTCGGCGGCAGAGTGGCGCAGTGGCCGCCTGCCTGGATCCACCCAGCATCTGCAGTCGCTGCGCCAGCTGCGTTTACGCTGCAAGAATTCCACGTCGCTGTGTAAGGTGTTTGACTCCCGGCAACACACGCCACCTGCCTATCACGTACAGAATGTGCAGCGTATGCCGAGCCGCTTTCATGACATTGTTTCAATAGGAAGCTGGGACGAGACGGCGGGGTTCGAATGGAGTGCACGTACAGTGATCGATTTGAAATCATTCGGCTCGTTTCAGCTGTCAGTGGAGAAGCGCACGGAGCGCAATGAGAGTATCCCATCGTCAAAGTGCAGCACGGCCTGTCAGCCAGGCCAGTTCCGTGTTTCCATTCCCGGCCTGCCCAGGGCATGCTGCTGGGAGTGCAGACCATGCGAGAGCTCGGCATTCTCGAACACTGTCAACGCCGACAGCTGCGAGCAGTGTCCGCTGGGCCACGGCTCGAATGGCAGTGCATGTGTGCCGTTCATCCCACAGCCTCATGGCGCCATGCTGGTGATATCAAGAGTGTTGACTGCTGCGTCAGGCCTGGGATTGGCGGCCACCGTACTCACTCTCGTCTACTTCTGGGCGCACCGGCGAGCCGTTCTGGTGCGCACGTCCGACGTCACGCTGAGCACGGTGACGATGTCATGCATGGCTGCGGGGCACGTCATGGTGCTTACCCTCTCCCTGCTGGAAATGGACTTGCGGATATGCCGGCTTGGCATTTGGCTGGGAGAACCGATCAAGGCCATCATCGCCGGCACCATACTCGTGAAAACGAATCGCTTCAAGACCGTCTTCGATTCGATGAAGATTTTGTCGCGCTATAAGAGCCGCCGTGTGCTACTCAGCAGCCCAATCCAGCTGTTGTTTGTTGCAGCGCTAACATTGGTTAGTGTATTGTTGGTGGGAGGCTTCATGATAGCCGACCCGCCGCTTTTTGTAACGGAACTTGGAACTGAACGCAGTGTGGTGTTCTGTCGCACTAGCACCACTTGGATTGCCATATTGAGCAGCTATAACTGTCTCCTGCTGCTAGCTGGAATCGTACTGGCCTTCCTGACCAGGAAACTGCCGGACAATTACAACGAATCGCAGCTTCTGTACCTGGCCTCTCTCACTGGCTTTGTGGTGTGGCTTGCTGCGTTCTGCGCGTTCGTCACCAGTAGCGAGGAGTTTGGCCTGCTCATTCTGGTCGTGTTTCTTGAGAGCCAGGTATGGGCCTTCTGGGGCTGTCTCTACATGTCACGCGTCGTGCAGATGATCCGCTTCCGCAAGTACAGGGAGCCGCGCAGCACTGCGTCAGTTGCAAACTCAGTAACAGTAAAAACACTGTCCCAGTTGAGTCCACCCCACTAATGCCACCCCACTAATGAGTGACCCGCAGTACAGTACGCTGGAGTGCACGTTTGAGATGCATTGATACAGTGCCAGTGATCGATGATGGGACAGCAATGAACAATTGCGGTACCACCCATCCCGTACCGTCCGCGCTGCGTCGAATGTGAGCCAGGCTTAACGAAACGCCTTGGGAGGTGGCCGTAAATACACGCCTGGCCACACACTCTCTGAGTTGCACACTTAGCAGTTACAATTTGGCAGTTACAATTTGGCACAGAGCTCTCCTTCTCACCCCAACCACCAGCAGTTTGCAAATGGTGCCTTATCGAAAAACATGGCTGTTGGTACATTTTACATGTGTATCTGGCATAGAGCCTTAGAGGGCTGGTACATCAGATAGCCATACTCGTTTCGTGTATTACATGTACATGCAGAATTCGATTATTTTATTTTTATTTCTACAAATGCCCATGGTCAATGTGGAAGGTAATAATATTATGATTCAAATCAGTCCGCACTCCTAATCACAACCATTACATCATATCGGAGGGCCCTGGGGTGGGGTTACGGTGGGCTACAGACTGTCAGTGTGATCTACAACAGGAGCATATGGATGATAGAATGTAGATCTACAGTGCTGGCAACTGAAATCCGACCCCCTGAGCGGTGTGCTCACATCGCAAAGAATGTGAACCCACCGCTCGGGGGGGGGGGGGGGGGGTCGGATTTCAGTTGCCAGCGCTGTACTACATGTACAATCATGGTATTATAATTATATCTAACAACAATACAATGTACAATCATATTGTATAACCACGAAGTTTGACTGGAAGGGCTTGGCTCCCATTCCAAGCATGTGTATTTACTAGTACAGTATGCCCTAATAGTACAATCATGTACATGTATTCTAGTATCCCTAGATTCCCCGTCAAAAAGAGAAGAGCCGAAGCCGTGAGCTGGGCCGACCTAGGCGAGTGCAGCGACGGTCGGCCAAGAGCCAATCGGCAGACTACTTCTGTATCAGTTCATTCACTATGACACCCTCCCACCGCACACCTAGTACCTCTCCGCGAGTGGCCGCTCAGACGACTTCTTCAAATCACGCGATCGCTTCCTTTCCTGTACAGTCGCTGCAGAACGGTCGCTGCAGAACGGTACGACATTTTCCGAAATCGACATGTCGACACGAACTCGCTGACGTGAGCAGCTGGTGACATCCACGTGACTAGCCTCAACTGGCTGTGAATCCATCCTGCATCCATGACTCGATCGACTGGGCCATGGGCCGCTTCGGAGTAACGATTTCAAGCCTCGAGCTTGATATCCTTAGACCAAGCTGCAGAGAATGAGGACTTTTGCTGGCAAAATCAAGGAACAGGCCATCATTTTTCTTCCCTTTGTTGGCTTTGAGCTAAAGGAACTACCATAATACGAGCGCTGGTGTAGGATTTCTCGAGCAGCAGTGTCTTCAACATGAAGCTTGCAGTTGCCTTTGCGGTAGCGATCGCCTGTAGCGCAGTCCAGGGCAGTCCCGTGGAAAAAGCAAGCCACTACGTGCGCGTGGAGGGCGTCGATGCTGTGTGCCAATCCGCCAATCTTCACCATGGCGGAACGATGGACGTGGAAAAGCTGAAGGCTCTCTGCGATGCCAATGAGGCCTGTCTGGGATTCCACTCGAATGGCATGCTAAAAAAGGATACCAGCATCGGTTGTCAAAGCAACGATCTCGCTAATGGCGCTGCACTCTACTTGAAGAGATCGGAGTCGCCCGACGCCGCCCAGCTTCCCGTACTTCCCGTGCCTACATCAGCCACGATGGGAACTGCAGCCGCCACCATTGCCTCTAACTTTGTGTTCGCAACGAAGACCACCAGCGATGATGTACGTCAGTTCATGGCGACCGCATCCGCTGAGTACTGGAGTCTGATCATCACCCACAAGTCGAACAATAATAAGACAACAACTGGCTTGACTGGCATGAACATCATTGTTGATAGCACCGACATGTCTCTGGGATTGACCACCGATGAGTCGTACAAACTCAGCATCCCATCCAGTGGAGCAGTGACTCTGACGGCAGCAAATGTGTTTGGAGCACGTCATGGTCTGGAGACATTCAGTCAGCTGGTGGTATTTGATGTAGAGAGCGAAACATACATGGTAGCCAACACACCAATTGAGGTCGACGACAAGCCGCGTTTTCCTCACCGCGGCATTCTGCTCGACACCTCCCGCCACTACCACAGCTTGCCAACCATCAAGCGCTTTGTGCGCTCGCTGAGCCACGCCAAGCTGAACGTTTTCCACTGGCACATCGTCGACAGTCAGTCGTTCCCCCTGCAGCTACACTCACTGCCCAACATTGTCAAGGGTGCTTACACGCCGGAGGAGATCTACACTCCGGAGGACGTGGCCGACATCGTCGCCTACTCCAAACTGCACGGCGTGCGAGTCATTCCCGAGTTCGACACACCCGGCCATGCTGGCTCCTGGTGCACTGGCTACCCGGAGATCTGCCCGTCTCCGTCTTGCACGCAACCCCTCAACCCTGCTACGAATCAGACGTTCGATGTTATCGGCAAGCTCATCACGGAATGCAAGGGATTGTTCACAGATGACTACTTTCACTTGGGTGGTGATGAGGTTAACCCATCCTGTTGGAACAAGACTGATTCCATCCGCACCTGGATGACGGAGAAGAAGTTCTCCACCGATGATGCCTACAAATACTTTGTGGCCGTAACCCATGCCCTGGCGCGCTCCCTGGGCCGCAAGAGTGTCCACTGGGAGGAGGTGTTCAATCACTTTGGTGGTTCTCTCGACAAGGACACAATCTTCCAGGTGTGGCTGAGCCATGCAACAGCTGCAAAGATCGTTGCCGAGGGCTACCAGTGTATCCTTAGCAACCAAGATGTCTGGTACCTTGATCATCTGACAATCTCCTGGCAGCAGTTCTATGGCAATGATCCCTATATGGGCATCACGGATCCCAAGCAGCAGCAGCTGATGATGGGCGGCGAGACTTGCATGTGGTCCGAGACCGTCGACGACTCCGACCTTTTCAACACAGTGTGGCCTAGAGCTGCCGCAGCCGCAGAGCGCCTGTGGAGCCCTGCCACGGTCGTTTCCACGGAAGCTTTCCAGCCGCGCCTGGCATCCTTCCGCTGCCTCCTTACCCGTCGAGGCATCGGTGCAGCTGCGATTGGAAACAAGCAGGCTCGATCTGCTCCTCCAGGACCCGGTAGCTGCTTCTCTCAGTAACAAGTCTTGCTTCAGTTTAGTTTGTTTGTCAAATACTCCCGTTTGGTTTCATCGTGATTTGAACGTGGAATTTGGTATAGTGTAGTGCAATGTTCAGCGGCTAGTGAGCCGCAATTTTTGGACATGTGAACTATAAAACCTGATTTGTGCAGGCAAAGAGATGGTATTGCCACGCTGACACTTTTTCCATGACTTCGTGTTTGTGTCCCTCTTGTCGTTAGTCTGTTCTTTCTGATGTCAAACTCAGTGTTGCACATCAAATATTACTTTAGTATTTCATCACTCTCGATGTTACTGCTTGTTTGCATCGGTTGTTATCATTAGTACTACATAGATGTCACAAGTTGAGGACCGCCGAAAGCAGTTTTGATTGGTCCGGTTGTATTGTGGCCTTTCGTACAGTTTGTGTATCGATGTGGCGGATACACACACATGCCCTACACTGTAGTAAACACGTGTTGATGGCCAAAGACTGGACGGTGTGGTAACTGATAACCTGACCAACCGGACCGATTCCGGCGGGCCTGGATCAGTGTTATTATAACGTTTTCTTCAATAGCGTTGTGCTCATGATTTGTTAACAAATAGCCAAAGCTCGCAAAGGCTCAAGGTCATGCACCGCCCACACGTAGCACCAAGGCAAGAGTCCATAACCCCCGTTGGTTATGGACTCTTGGGAGCACCAAGAGTAGAGGGTCTACGTGTCTAGATCTACTACCGTTGTAGTCCGTAAAGTACCGCCAGAGCGCCCCACCATCAATTATTTTTAGGCCACGTAAAATATATTGATTGTTTATCGTCAGATTTTCCCGAGAAATCGGGGCGGACGGGAGGTTTTTAATTTTATTTTTTATTATGTATTTATGCATGGCTGTAGGGCAGGTGTTCGCAAACCCAGAGGATAATGAAAAGTGGAACAACCAACGTTACGTAGAAAAAACGAAGAAAATCAGGCAGCTGATGATCAATTTCACTTTTCAAGCCCATGGCAACTAAGTTATGGTTCAGTCTGTGGACTTGACCTTCGAAAATCTACGGCCATGCTGATTAGAGGCTGTAGACCGCAGTACATACAGTAAATTTATCAGTACTAAAAATAAAATAATTCGGTGGGGAGGGTGAAAATTTGGGGCGGGCGCGGACGATAAAGTATATACCGGTAATAACACATGTTATCACTCCCTTAGTATTGACTCGCATAGATTTTTGCCATACCTAAGCAGTCAAATATTCCTGCATATTTCACTCCTTAGGGCTATATTGACTGCTTATATTTGACAGCTTAGGGGTTGCGCAGTTGAACGGTGCCTAGTGCAGCATTTTCACTGCATGAGTAGGTGGTGGTGCAACGATTGTGCAATCATAAAACCGGGATTCATGAGGTTATCGTTCTGGAATTTGAAATACGGACTGCTTGTCGTGATAAATCTAATATTGACTTCGTACTTGGTCAGTATAGGAAATAAAAGACCTCGTAAAAGACCTCGGCTTCGCCTCGGTCTTTTACTCGGCTTTTATTTCCTATATTGACCTCGTACTCAGTCAATATTAGATACGTACGGAGGGCATTATGGCTGATTTATGCCCTAGTGCGTAGCCCGAGGTCGTCACCGTAGCCCAAGGGCCGCAGGCCCGCGGGCTACGGTGCACGACCGAGGGCTACGCACTAGGGCATACAATCAGCCATAATGCACGACGCACCATGTGTTTTATTATTTGTAGTTTATACATGCCACGTGCCTACAAAACAATAATAGTAGGGCGCAGTCTAGCCACCCAGTTTCGGTGGAAGTGCGCGAGTTCGATTGGGATTCAAGTAGGAAGGGAGCGTCTCACTCTCAGCTTTCTCGGACCAAGACCATTCGACTCAGCACCCCGAAGACTACAACTGGTGAAATTTTAACTTCCCCTTCAAAGCATGGGAAGGACGCTGTGTCCTACAAAGCCCTTCACATGGCAATGAATATAACAGATATAAAGAAGCCCAGAGGTCGCCCAGTGACCAGATGGGTAGACAACATTAGGAATGACCTTTTACTTCTCAATATGTCTTTTTTGGAAGCGGAGCAACTTGCCTCAGACAGAACGCACTGGCTCGACGTTGTCGACAGATGCATGACCCTCATTTGATTTTTCATATGAGCTATATAGCTATATGCGTGCTGTATTATTATTATTATTATTATTATTATTATTATTATTATTATTATTATTAAAGCATGGGTGAGGGTAGACACTTCTGATGGATGTGCACACAATCCCGTGTGATCTGCATATCGTAGGTTCAACAGCTGGCGTCCTCCGATTCTCACACCGATACCATGGATACTGTCCACATCAGCAACACGCATAACACTCTCAGTGTACAGGCTAAATAGATGTGGGGACAAAATACAGCCCTGCCGAACACCCTTCTTGATGGCGAACTCCGGCGAATGCGAGCCATTCCATCTGATAACTCCGCTCATCCCTGTGTAAAGATTCTGGAGCAAACAAACTATGTGGCGATCGCGCAAGGGAAACCAAAATCCAAAAGGCAACCGAATAGAAACAATGGATACAGGATTCTGCCATTTTTAATTCAAGAGATTTTTCGATAATGATTTGCAGAACAAACATTTTTTTTTTATTTATAATATCTGGAAAAAGCAAAAATTGAAAAGGCGACATTAAATTTTTGTTTCCTGCATATGACAAGGCCAAGGGCAAGTGTCAACCCTGAGCTACAGACGTCGGTTTGCAGCTGGAAGGACCACGGGATCGGGAGAAGTCACTTTCGTCTCTCGCCACTACAACCCTGCGTTCTTGTCGCTGCCGTGTTGCGTAGGTATTCTTTTCAGAGTACCGCGCTTTCATTATGAAGGTCGCATTTGCTTTTGCAGTGGCGATTGCCTGTTGTGCCGTGCGAGGTAGCCCCATTGAGAAAACTGGTCACTACATCCGTGTGGAGGGCGTCAACGCCGTGTGCCAATCCGCCAATCTTCACCATGGTGGAACGATGGACGTGGACAAGCTGAAGGCTCTCTGCGATGCCAATGAGGCCTGTCTGGGATTCCACTCCAATGGCATGCTCAAAAAGGATACCAGCATTGGTTGCCAAAGCAACGATTTGAATGAGGATGCAGCACTCTATCTGAAGAGGTCTGAATCAGCTGAAGGCACTCAGCTGCCTGTAGTACCCTTGCCTACATCAGCCACCATGGGAACCACCGCTGTCACTGTCGTCTCAGACTTTGTGTTTGCGACGAAAACCACCAGCGAGGCCGTCCGTCAGTTCATGGCGACCGTATCCGCTGAGTACTGGAGTCTCATCATCACCCACAGGTCGGACAATAATAAGACAACAACAGGCTTGACTGGCATGAACATCATTGTTGATAGCACCGACATGTCTCTGGGAATGACCACCGATGAGTCGTACCAACTCAGCATCCCATCCAGCGGGGCAGTGACTCTGACGGCGGCAACCGTGTTTGGAGCACGTCATGGTCTGGAGACATTCAGTCAGCTGGTGCACTTTGATGCGGAGAGCGCCACGTACGTGATTGCTAATACGCCAATTGAGGTCGAGGACAAGCCGCGTTTTCCTCACCGCGGCATTCTGCTCGATACCGCCCGCCACTACCACAGCCTGCCGGTTGTCAAGCGCTTCATTCGCTCGCTGGGCCACGCCAAGCTGAACGTGTTCCATTGGCACATTGTCGATAACCAGGCGTTCCCGCTTCAACTGCACACTCTGCCCAACCTTGTCAAGGGTGCCTTTTCGCCGCAGGAGATCTACACGCCGGAGGATGTGGCCGACATCGTCGCCTACGCCAAGCTCCATGGCGTGCGCGTCATTCCCGAGTTCGACACGCCCGGCCATGCCAACTCCTGGTGTGCTGGCTACCCCGAGATCTGCCCGTCACCGACCTGCACCATCCCGCTCAACCCCGCCACCAACCGCACGTTCGACGTCATCGGCAAGCTGATCAGCGAGTGCAAGGGCCTGTTCACCGACGACTACTTTCATCTCGGTGGAGACGAGGTGTACACGACATGCTGGAGCAAGAGCGACTCCATCCGCAAGTGGATGGCGCAGAAGAACTTCTCCATCGACGACACCTACAAGTACTTCATTGCTGTGACCCACGCCATGGCGCGCAGACTGGGCCGCAAGAGTATCCACTGGGAGGAAGTGTTCAACCATTTCGGTGGCAGTCTCGACCGGGACACCATCTTCCAGGCCTGGCTGAGCCACGAAACCGCCGCCAAGATAGTTGCCAAGGGTTACCAGTGTATCCTGAGCAACCAGGACGCGTGGTACTTGGACCATTTGAAGATCACCTGGCAGCAGTTCTACACCAACGACCCGTACATGAACATCACGGATCCCAAGCAGCAGCAGCTGATGATGGGTGGCGAGGCGTGCATGTGGTCCGAGACCGTCGACGACTCCGACCTGTTCAACACGGTGTGGCCTAGAGCTGCTGGTGCTGCCGAGCGCCTGTGGAGCCCGGCCTCGGTGGTGTCCACCGACGCGTTCAAGCCGCGCCTTGAGGGCTTCCGCTGCCTGCTCAACCGTCGCGGCATTGGCGCGGCCGCTGTCGACAACAAAATGCCGCGCTCTGCTCCACTGAAGCCCGGCAGTTGCTTCTACCAGTAGTGCACGTCCCTTGAGCCTCGCGTTTCTTTTCGAATGTTCCCAGTTCTGCTCTCGCTATTCACTTGGAGAGAGTTTTTATTGTGGAACCAAGTTCTAGTACATAATTGGTTAAGTTCTAGTAATCCTTAATTCATCTTGACCAGCGTGCAATTTAGAATCGCTTTGCTTTGTCTTTGCACGGTAGATGACCTTGGCAACATAGGGTGACAGGGCCTGAGCATTGAATTTTGAATTTTTGATCCTCTGGTGCTCGTTCTGTTGCCTTTCGTTTCTTTCTGTGACGAGGCTTCTTCACCTCCGCTGCCTTGGCATCTTGTGCAAGTACATTACTTGTATTTTTTTCACGATCGATGGCATCAAGGCAAGAGGTATGTATGATGGAACCTAGGCTATGCATCACCAATGGCACCAGCATTTATTGGTGATTATTGAAATTTAAATTGTAACTTGGAACCCGGGGAGCGTGAGCTTTTTTCTTGTGTGTATGTGCGTGTGGATCAAAAATATGTGTGTTTGTGTGTGTGTGTGTGTGTGTGTGTGTGTGTGTGTGTGTGTGTGTGTGTGTGCACAGGAAACTGTCTTGGCCGTTTTATGCCGATGTACTCCGTGTGATGTAGACCAGGTGTGCATTGGTGGTCGATTCACATGGCTTCGCCAGTTGTGTGGATTAGACAGTTATCTGGCGCAAGTCTTGATCCGTCTCATTCAGATCTTGTTCGCTTTCGTTGCTATAAGAGAAAATTTGCGGGTGCACATTCAGTGCATTTGCAGATTTGCGTGCTTCTCTTGCGACGGGCGTATACATGGTACATGGTACATTGTGTGTGTGTGTGTGTGTGTGCGTGCGCGTGTGTATGTCGGGGGGAGGGGGTGCATAGGTATTGGTCTTGGCCGTCCTTTTCCGATGTGCACTGCTTCGTGTGGTGTAGGCCAGGTGTGCATTGGGGGTCGATTCACATGGCTTTGCCAGTTGTGTTGATTATGTAGACAGTTATCTGTACTGGCGCTAGTCTTGATCTGGTTCATTCAGAATCAGTTCTGCAATCGTGCTATAGGGAAAATCTGTGGGTGAACATCCAGTGCATTTGCAGATTTGCGTGCTTCTCTTGCGACGGGCGTATACATGGTACATGGTGTGTGGGTGTGGGTGGGTGGTTACCAACAGCCAGTGCATGCCAGAGTATTATTATTATTATTATTAAATTTTTGATAGGGCAATCCCCACAGGCCTAAGTATGCGGTGTGATGTGTGTGCGGAAAAACAAAACAAAAAAACAAAAAAATTGGGATTCACTAACCAGAAAAGTCACTTCAAATACATGTAGCTGTATGGTGTAGACCAGGCTGAAGAGTGGCTGTCAATTCTTCAGCCTTGCAAGCTGTTGAATGGTGCAATCCTGGCACAAGTTGCCATGGCTTCTGCTGTAGCATTGCTATCATCGCCTCCGGCGATGTAAAAAAGTCAAGGTCAAAGGTGTGTGTGTGTGTGTGTGTGTGTGTATGTGTGTGTGTGTGTGTGTGTGTGTGTGTGTGTGTGCACTCCCTGACACAACCACTTTCAGCTATTGGGTGGACTTGGGATTGCATGTACCGGTACATGTACATGTACATGCGGTACATGAAACATATTGATCAAGAGCCAATATCTCTTGGCCCTTGGGTTGTTGTTATCGTCCCTGTTGTTGTCGTTGTTATTGTTGTTGTTAAAAAAATTTTTTTTTTACGAAAGTCCACTATATTCCCGAATATGTGCGAGAAGTGGTGGCGGGGCCAGGCTGCTCTGCCGACCTCAAAGGTCTCGGCGTCTACGCAGACAAAGCGCGCCATAATGCAGTAAAACCATGAAGAGGGGAAATGAATAATAGTGAGAAACAAGGATTGAAATAAAGATTATTATTATTATTATTATTATTATAGGACAATGGGTACACACACTTGAGAGGGACGAAAAGGACAATGGGTAGATGGTCGTGAGAGAAGCAGAGTGAAAGATAACGTCACATTGTGGTAAGGGGGGGGGGGGGGGGGAGGATGCTAGTGAGGCACTGGTCTAAACCGTTTCATAGGGCGTCGGTGGCTGCTTGCCAGTTCAGGTGCAGCAGATACTTGTTGCATTTTTCCTTGAATGATTGGAGCTGTCTGGGTTGGGGCCGTGCTGGTAGAATGGTCGCTGGTAGGCTGTTCCACAAGGGAATAATGCAGTCTGGGTAGGAACCCTGGAGGCTGCTACGAATGCGCACGGGCAGCGTCGACTTGAGCTGGAGCGGGTGGCAGTGGGCAGTCTCCGTGGCTAACCTAGTGGATCGACCACCCACTGGGCGGGGATTGGCTGGAGGTGGGAGGATGTTGTTGTTGTTGTTGTTGTTGTCGTTGTCGTTGTCGTTGTCGTTGTAGTTGTTGTTGTTGTTGTTGTCGTGGCACAGGCTCCGCAGCATTTGCGATAGCAGCAAAACTGACTAGCCCCCATTGCGTATAGGCGTTGAGATCACTGCCCACAAGCAGCGTGACTGAGGCTGAGCGAGGCCGTGATAGAATCGAACCGTGATCATGGTGATCAACTTTTAATCGTTGCTTTACTTCTCTGGGTCCGACAGCGCCCTACCCCCATGGTACACAGTACTGTACTGTAGTCCACAACAGCGCCAAGAAGCGCGAGAAGGACGGTCGGCGGCGGTGAATCGATGGTTCTCCTCATATAATATTATGGTCATTATTGCCGAACCGTTGTCACCACAGACTACACTGCCAGTGGTACCGTAACAAGGCCAGGCACGAGTAGATTCGGTTGATGGGAGTGTGCGCGCATGGCCTTCGCTCCTTGATATTATGTAGTACAGACATGGGTCATGTACATGTACATGTATATGCGACTCAAGGGGTAGACCCGGACCGGGGCTTATTCGCCTTGCTAAGGTTGTTGCCCTCAATGTTTTGGTGTGGTAGTGTAGTATTCCTGCCTCCCTAGTACTGAACTGTAGCTGACTACTAGTACTACATCTATGTACATCTACTGACCTCTAATCATGTCACATGTACACGTACAC